CCCCCCCCTTTTGTTTGTGGCTGGCTTCACAAGTGAAAATAGCTTTCTGCCCATTATGATTTTGGTGTGTGTATTTTATCTCTAATCCAGCATCGTGCTGGAACCTTAGTAGATCTCACTGGAGCATTCTTTGAAAAGATGCCAACGCAGCCCAGTCATCCCAGACTCCCTTCTTGCCCCTGCTTCTACAAGAGAGGCTCCTGAGACTGCCCTCTCTAAAGCGTCAACCCTGCACAACTCTTTGCTCATAGGCTGTGTTGTGCTCCTTCAAAGCACTTTTTCTCCCACCACCTGGTGCTCTCCCATGGGAACAGGAATGCCGTTAAGCCAGAGATTTCATTTTATTCAGAGCTGCATCCGTCCCTAGTGCCAAGCACTGGTAGGCAGCGTTGTCCGAAGGTGTAATGAAGGTTAGAAATTGTGGCAGATGCCCAAAGGGATATAAATACCCATTAGAAACAGACTGAGTACAGGAGGAGCTCAGATGACATGAGAGCTGCAGCGAACGTGCTGTGGGTGTTTGAGTGGTTTTTGAGTTCTAGCCGGCTTCTTAGGAAATGACGTTTAAGCCGCCTCTTATTTCAGACTAGGGAAACTGATAAGCAGAGGCTTACAGGTGGGAAAGCGAACCAGGGTAGTTAGTATGTATAAGAAAAGATGACATACTCAGTTTGGCTAGAATATACTCATGAAAAAGTAAATTAGTTAGAAACGTAGGTTAGATTCAGGTCAGTGGAAAGTCTTGAAATCAAAATTGAGTTTGGCTTTTGTCCCACTGGCAGTGTGAAAATTGTTTCCCCCTCCCTCCTTAAAAGGCAGTTATATATGTGGCATGATTGGACCTCTGTAGGAGGAGACTGAAGACTAAAGTTTGTTTTTATTATGGTTTTTAATTTTAATTCCAGTTGGTTAACATACCAACTGGAATATTAGTATAATAATGGGGCGCCTGGGTGGCTCAGTCGGTTAAGCGTCTGACTTTTGGTTTCGGCTCAGGTCATGATCTTACGATTTCGTGGGTTCGAGCCCTGTGTCCATGCTGAATCTGCTTCGTAGCCTTCCTCTCTCTTCCCTTCCCCTGCTTGTATTCTCTCTCCCTCAAAATAAATAATTTTAAAAAATGAGTATAAGGTGTACAATTTAATGATTCTACACTTCCATACATCACCTCGTGCTCATCACAGGTGCCCTCTTGAATCCCCATCATCTATTTCACCCATCTCCCACCCTCCTGCCCTCTGCTGACCATCAGAAGTCCCCTATAGTTAAGAGTCTGTTTCTTAGTTTGCCTCTCTATCTTACTTCCCCTTACTCATTTGTTTCTTAAGTTCCACATATGAGTGAAATCATATGGTATTTGTCTTTCTTTGCCTGACTTATCTCACTTAGCATTATACTTTCTGGCTCCATCCATGTGGTTGCAAATGGGGAGTTTTCATTTTTCATAACTGAATAATATTTCATTGTATTTTCATAGCTGAGTAATATTTCAGTGTGTGTGTGTGTATACACACATATCTGTTCATCAGTCAGTGGACACTTGGGCTGCTTCCATAATTTGGCTATTGTCAATACCGCTATAAACCTAGGGGTGCGTGTATCTCTTTGAACCAGTGCTTTGTAGTTTTTGAGTAAATACGCAGTAGTGCAATTACTGGATTATAGGTTAGTTCTGTTTTTACCTTTTTGAGGTACCACCCTACGGTTTTCCACAGTGACTACACCAGTTCACTTCCTACCAGCAGTGCAAGAGGGTTCCTTTTTCTCCACATCCTCACAGTACTTCTTTCTTGTGTGTTGATTTTAGCCATTCTGACAGATGTGAGGTGATATCTGATTGTGGTGTGTTTTTTTTTTTTTAATTTTTTTTAATGTTTTATTTCTGAGAAAGACAGCATGAGGAGGGTCAGAGAGAGAGGGAGACACAGAATCTGAAGCAAAATCTGAAGAATTAGACACTTAACCAACTGAGCCACCCAGGCTCCCCCATATATCATTGTGGTTTTTATTTGCATTTCCCTGATGATGAGTGATGTGGAGCATCTTTTCACATGGCTGTTGGCCATCTGTGTGGAAGACTGAAGTTTGAATTGTGGAGGAGGTGTGGGAGGGTTGCAACTAACTTACATTAGAATCATATAGGTTAAAGGTGGGAAGAAAGCAGTGGTCAGCAAATTGACAAATAGATCAGATATGGAGAATAAGGGAAGTGGAAGAAGCCAAGATAACTCTAAGCTTTATGTATGTATTTCAGAAAGTCTTTATTTTTGAAAATTTTTAATGTTTATTTTTGAGAGCGTGAGAGTGTGCTCGTGTGTGCATGAGAGAGAGAGAGAGAGAGAGAGAGAGAGAGAGAGAGAGAGAAGTTCCAAAGAATGCTCTGTGCCGAGAGTGGAGAGCCTGATGTGGGCCTCAAACCCACGAAACCGTGGTGAGATCATGATCTGAGCCAAAGTTGGTGCTTAACCAGCTGAACTCCCTAGACGCCCCTCTAAGGTTTTGAATTGTGAGAAGTAAGATGGTGTTGTCATTACAGAGACTATGAAGAAAGAACAGATTTGAGAAGAAAGAGTAATTTAATTTTGAACATGTTGCTTTGAGGTGCTGCCATGTGAATGGCAAGTGGAAAGCTACCAAATCTTAAGGTTTGGGAATCGCTCGCAGGGTGGTTTCTGAAGCTTGCAGTTGTGAAGGAAGAGTCAAGAGAGTACACGGAGAGAGAAAGGAAAGTAGCAGGGAGCATATTCTTGGGAAGTAGCTCTGTTGAGAGAACAGGAAGAAAAGCCAAAGAAAGACAAAGCCAAGAGAGGACAATATGAGAGAAACCAAAGAAAGGTATTTTCAGGATGAAGACTCCAGAAAAAGCTGTTAAAACCTTTAGAATGTGCTGTAATATCTTCGTAGCCATATTATACATATATTATTCTGCTGTACTGTTAAGCATAGTTTTTTTTTGTTTTATTTTACTGTTTTATTTATTTCTGAGAGAGAGAGAGAGAGACAACGTGAGCAGGGGAGGGTCAGAGAGAGAGGGAGACACAGAATCTGAAGCAGGCTCCAGGTTCTGAGCTGTCAGCACAGAGCCCAACGTGGGGCTCAAACCCACAAACTGTGAGATCATGACCTGAGCCAAAGTCAGACACTTAACCGACTGAGGCACTCAGGTGCCCCAGTATTTTTTTTTTTTTTCTCTATTCTGTGATGCATCCTTTGATCTTGACGACTTTTGTTTCCTCTTGGTAAAATAGTAAAAGCTCTAACCAGCCAGAATGGAAGGATCCCAGAGTGCCAGCTCAGGGCTTGGATAAGTGCTTGTGTTCCTATCTCACGCTTGGTCTGTTTAGCATATGAATTATTTTTAGACTGTCTTCAAGGAATATGTTGTCACTTTTGTAGGTGCTTTCAGAAAACAAATAGGAAACTAGAAAGAGAGTAACTTGCTACAAGTGCAAGAAGGCACATCAGAGAAGTGGAGCGGATTCGTTGAAAAGCTTGACTGGAAAGATTTCAGTAGCATTTTGCCCAAGAGTCAGGGCTAGAGAGACTTGGTTACTTTGGTGCAGCACTGTACACAGGAAAGATAAAGATGGGATCTCCATTCTACCTAAAGAGAAAAATCTCTCTCTATTAAAGAGAGTTTTTAGATAATCAGATTTGGTCATGAGTTGACTTGGAATTTTATAAGCCACTTACGACAAGACTAGACTTTTGAATACATAAATACTGATGACTGAGACAAAGGGAAGGTAGGGCAGCCGGTATCTGCTTTGGGGTAGAACAGTATCTAAAGCATCTGTCTGCATCTTGGTCTGTGTGACAGCATGTTGTAGATAAGAAAGGTAATCTGATTAAAATAATACACCTAGGGGCGCCTGGCTGGCTCAGTTGGTGGAGGATGTGACTCTTTAATTTTAGAGAGGGAGGGAGAGAGCTTGCACTAGTGAGGGAGAGGCACAGAGGGAAAGAAAGAATCTTAATCCGCGTGGCTCAGTCCCGTGACCCTCAGATCATGACCTGAGCCAAAATCAAAAATCAGACGCTTAACTGAATGAGCCACCCAGGCGCCCCCACACAGTGATTAGATAACTCTCTACTCTATGCTGTGTGTCATCTTTATAATCACATGCAATAAGCAGAGATTAAACAGAGGTTATTAGAATAAGTTCACTGATTATTAAAGCACAGTAGTAGCACACTCACTTAGAAATTTTTACATGGTTTGGATATTAGCACTTGAGTTTTGTTATAGGGTGAGGAGTTGTTTTGATAAAACTTACCCTCTTTAAGGTCTGATTTAAGTGAAAATCTTTGTTAGGTCTTGGATATTTAAATTGAGAATTGTAATTGATTATAAATAATTTATTTTTTAATTGTGTGAGTTATATGGTGGTTCGTCTTAAAATCCAGAATAGCTTGTGCAAAGCTACTCTGATGTATTTTGCTTTTTTAAGCATTTCCTTTCTTCTGCGAGTGGATTAGTAGAGGTGTTCAAATTTGTATACCTTTATTCGTTGAATCCTCTTACCTGTCATCCTCAGAAAGTAGATTTGTTCATGTTAGTTAATGCTCAGAGGTTTTTGGCCTGAGTAAGATGAAAAGGGCTTAAAAATGTATTATTGTTTAAATTTTTCTATTTACTATAGGACATTTTTTGAGTGGAGGGAATGGGGGTGGACCTAGTGAGGGCCCCAGTCTTGGCCCCATTATATCTGCATCTTTCATAGGATGTTAGAGCAAAAACAGTTTCTGGAGCCCTGCTTTAAGTGAAGATAATATCACAAGAGTATTTCAGTTGTTAACAGCACATTTCCTGCCTCTCTCCTTTCCTGGTTTTATAGTACCTCTGAATAATAATTGACCAGAAAGTATATCTGAAGAGGTTCTTTATAAATGTATATATCCATATTCATATTAATTACACACCTGACATGGCGAATTCAAGGCATTTAAAAGAAAAATAACTTCACGTGTTTAATTACTGCACTTCTGATCATTTGTAGGCGAAACCTCACCAAACTGTCACTGATCTTCAGCCACATGCTGGCGGAGCTAAAAGGAATCTTTCCAAGTGGACTCTTTCAAGGAGACACATTTCGGATTACTAAAGCAGATGCTGCAGAATTCTGGAGGAAAGCTTTTGGGGAAAAGTAAGTCCCAAAGTAATTTGAACATGAAAAACTAAAGCATATGTTTTGGCCTTTTGTTTATTTTTTTAATCTAATTTTTAACTTTTTTAAAAAAATGTTTGTTCGATTTTGGGAACAAGAGAGAGAGGGGGGCAGGAGCAGAGAGGGAGAGAGAGAAAGAATCCCACCCAGGCCTCCCACTCAGCACGAAGCCTGACGCAGGGTTTGATCTCATAGTCTGTGAGCTGAAATCAAGAGTCAGATGCTTAACCAACTGAGCCACCCAGGTGCCCCAGCTTTTTTAAAGTAAGCTCTAATCCCAGTGTGGGGCTCAAAATGACAACCCGAAGTCGTATGGTCTTCTGACTGAGCCCCTACTTATTTTTTTATTAATACAATAATTGTGTCATGGGAAAGCATAGAGAAAAATAATGAACATGTTTGTACAGTAGTCCCCCCCCTCCCCCGCTCCCCTCCCTTATCTGCTGTCTTCCTTTCCATGGTTTGGGTTACCTGTGGTCAACTGTGGTCCACAGCAGGTGACCTCCTGATACTTGCTCAGACAGTAGTAGCCTGACACTACATCACAGTGTTAACTACATGCTTCACCTCCCTTCATCACCTCACGTAGGCATTTTATCATGTCACCTCACCACAAGAAGGCTGTGTACGGTAAGATACTGTGAAAGAGAAGGATCATATTTATATTAACTTCCATTACAGTATATTGTTATAATTTTCTCTTTTATTCTTAATCTCTTACTGTGCCTAATTTAGAAATTAAACTTTATGCTAAGTGTATGCAGATAGGACAAAACATAATATACCAGGCTTTGGTACTACCTGCATTTTCAGGCATCCACTGAGAGTTTTCCAAAGTATCTCTTGCAGATAAGGGAGCGTTTACTGTATCTACTTTCCTGCTTTGGTAAATAGTAACTTTTTTATTTTTTTTTTATTTTTTGAGAAAACTTTGCAGATTCCATCGAAACCCATGCTCTTCGGTTGAGTATTTCTTTTTCTCCCCATCCATTCTGCTGTGCATGGGCATTTATGTTTCCCGTTAACCGGCTCTCACAAATGGTGCCGAGGTGAACAAAATTATATTCACCTTCATATTGAGGAGCTTCTCCGTAGTTATATGCTAGGAGCGAAGTAGCTGAGTCGGGGTTTCACGTCCTCTGCTTTGCCGGATATTGCCCATCACTTCACAAGGTGGTTATGCTAGTTTTTATCCCTGTGAACGGTGTACACAGATTCCAGTAGCTCCACAATCTGGCTAACACTGGTAATGTGAACTGGGTGTCATGGTTGCTTTCTGGTCCTGATGACATGGGAGATTGAACATCTTTTCACAGTTATGACCGGTCGGGATTCTTATTCTGACTTGCCTGCTCCTCTTCCTGACTTGTCCTTTTTACTGCTGAGTCTTTCTCCTGTTGTAAGGTACGGATTGTCCGTTAGTTACTTATGGGTTGTCTATTAGTTACTTTCGTTGCAAGTATCTTCTAGTCTGTGGCTGTTAAGATACGGAGGCTGGTTTTTCCACTTTCCTTATATTGTCTCTTCATGTACAGAAGTTTTAAATTCTATAGACAGATTTATGAATTAAACTTCTGCTTTAAAGTATGAATATAAATGTTCTTGTGTGTCCTCTGAAATTTTGGACCAAGGAAATGAAAAGATAGAAAACAAACTTTTTTTTTGGTTTTTTTTTTTTAAATATTTTTATTTATTTCTAGGAGAGAGAGAGAGAGAGAGACAGCGTGAGCAGGGGAGGGTCAGAGAGAGAGGGAGTCACAGACTCTGAAACAGGCTCCAGGCTCCGAGCTGGCAGTCAGCACAGAGCCCGACGCGGGGCTCGAACCCACGAACCGCGAGATCATGACCTAAGCGAAATTCGGACGCTTAACCGACTAAGCCACCCAGGCACCCCAGAAAACAAACTTCTTAACTGAATATACAGAGCCTAATGTAAATTTTTCTTTAAATGCCTTCTTTTTCAAAATATGTGTAAATGTAAAACATAAAATGATTAGTGATTTAAAAACCTGGTTAAAGAGGATGGGAATAAGTTTAACTTTGTTTCTTTTAACTTAATAACTACATTAGAAAAGAATTCAAAATGCCGCTTGATCTCTTAAAACTTTTCAAAGGCAATGAGGTGCTTGCCTAATCTAGGGTTTCATCACTATAATAATTTATTCTTCATCCCTATCAGAGCTCTGTCTTCCTGTGCCTTAAACCTATTTCCTCCTGTCTAGTCCTTGAGAGTGAGCTCCTCAGAGAACTCAGAATGTATTTCATGCTTTGAAAAAGTTAGTTTAGGGGTGCCTGGGTGGCTAAGTCAGTTAAGTGTCCAACTCTTGATTCTGGTTCAGGTCATGATTTCACAGTTTGTAGGATCGAGCCCTGTGTTGGACCCTCCCCTGACAACTCGGAGCCTGCTTGGGATTCTCTTCCCTTCTCTCTGCCCCTCTCCCACTTGTGCACTCACACATGCATGTGCAGTCTCTCTCTCAAAATGAATAAATAAACATTAAAAAAATAAAAGCAAAAACTTAATTTAAACATAAGCTTTCAGTTAATTGAGGCCTGGCCAGAGATTACGTTTATTATATAAAAAAAGTAATTCCCTCTCTCTCTCTCACCATGCTTCCCTAAATAGAACAAATGTGTGAAGAAAGACGAGAAAGGGGATTCGTTTGTGACCTTCTGCCAGAGAATAGTGGAAAAAGATTTCAGTTACTAATATACTCGTTAGAAAGAAAGTTAAGAATGTATCATTTACTCCCATTCTGTTCTCAGTCCAAAATACAGCTTAGCTTCTTTAAGAGAATTGAAATTGATTTTAAGACCTTCATGTGGCTTTCTTTTCCTTGATTATTTTAGCAATGTCCAGAATTGTCTGTTGTCTCACTCAGTGCCTTCCCTCCTCTCCCCGCCCCAGGACAATAGTCCCTTGGAAGAGTTTCCGACAGGCCCTTCACGAAGTGCATCCCATCAGTTCCGGGCTCGAGGCCATGGCTCTGAAATCCACTATTGATCTGACCTGCAATGATTATATTTCAGTTTTTGAGTTTGACATCTTTACAAGACTCTTTCAGGTAGGATACTAAAAACAGAAAACTAACCACTAGTTGTTGCTACTTTTCTGAAGAGAGAGCTCTTTAAAAAAGTAACATTTGAGAGTTTATATAGTCTATGAAAGTATTTTTAGTCAGTCTGGAAATTATAAGGAAAAAAATTCCCCACTGCTTTGTATTTCTATTATTTTATTTATTGGTAAAAATAATAACTATATAATCTGCTTTCTTCCCCTCATGTTTATTATCTCATTTTGTTGGTGGATCTTCTTCTTTTGCATCATCTTAATGGTGAAATGTCCAGAAAATGGGTATAATATGATCTATTTAATCAGTTTCCTCTAGTTGGACATTTAGGTATGTTTCCAGGTATTTATTTTTTAGGGATTTTTCTCCTGTTGTAATTGAAATTCTTGACTGTTAATATTGAGATGTATTGATCCTTCAGAAAGAGCTCGTGTATTTTTTTCCATAGAGATAAGGTGCGTGTACGCCCGCTTGCACAAACCTTTGTTTGCAGCTTCTTAGCTGCACGTATGGGTCCTGCTGTTTCTCTGATTTGTTTGTTTGTTTTCTGTTTAATCCCGCTCCTGTTGGTTAGAACTGCATTAGATTGTCTCGAATTTCATTTTATGAAAAAAGTCTCTTTCTGTAAGCATATATTCATCTTTTCTTAGTTTTTCTAAGCTCTTACCTCAAGGTTATTTCCCTCAAAGTGACAAGATCGTTGAAAATTTGTGAGCGTAAATGGAGAATTTATCATTGAGAATCAAGATGGTTTTCCTTCATTGCCGTGAGGTTGGTTGCAGCTCTTGAGCTGAGTGGTCTGATTGAGCTCTTGTTCCCGTAGCCTTGGTCCTCGTTGCTCAGGAACTGGAACAGTCTTGCTGTAACTCATCCTGGTTACATGGCTTTCCTGACATATGATGAAGTGAAAGCTCGGCTCCAGAAGTTCATTCACAAACCTGGCAGGTCAGTGCCGTGAAGCGAGCAGCTTTCTCCTTCTGAATTTTATTCTCTTGCAACCCCTGCCAGAGTAGAGGAAGCATGATCTTGAATTAGTTCCCCAGCGGCCACGTGTCCGTACTAGGATTGTGGTCTGTTTACCAGAGGAATTGACGGATTCAGATCTTAGGACTTGAAAATGCTCTCAGGCCACTTGAGCTTATGTGTTTCTTCCTTTTGCTCTGGAGTCATTGTAGAATCTGTTATTGATGGTCCTTTTGATTTTGGTCTCTGTCTTGCCTTCCCCCAAATAACAGTATGTAAAAGATCTGTTCATCTGTGTTCGCAGTTACATTTTCCGGCTCAGCTGTACTCGTCTGGGGCAGTGGGCTATTGGGTATGTCACTGCTGATGGGAACATTCTCCAGACAATCCCGCACAATAAACCTCTCTTTCAAGCCCTAATTGACGGCTTCAGGGAAGGCTTGTGAGTATCTACTGTTTGTCATCTGCCAGGATCTAGGAACTTAGGGGCTGTGAGACTTGACCATCAAGTTTTTATTTAAAAGGGCTCATAGGGGTTGGCAAACTGTGGCTCCCAGGCTAGCTGTTGTGGTACAGCCTGCACCTGAGATATCTTTTCCTTTTTCAAGGTTATTTAAAAACAAAACACCAAAGAAGAATACATGACACAGACTTGCATGGCTTACAGAGCCGAAAATAGTTACCGTCCGGTCATTTACTGAAAAAGTGATCAGCCTCTTAGTAAAAGATAGAGCCTGTGGCATTGTGGCCTAGAGAAAGAGCTGTCAGTGTTTGGGAATATCTTCTTGGAACTGTTCTGTTTTTGTTTTGTTTTTAGAGAGAGTACGAGCGGGGCAGGGAAGGGGACAGAGGGAGAGAGGAAGAATCTTAAGCAGGCTCCATGCTCAACGTGGAGCTTGATGTGCTTGATCCCTCAACTCTGGGATCATGACCTGAGCTGAAATCAAGAGTCAGATGCTCAACCTACTGAGCCACACAGGTGCCCCTGTATGTTTTTGGAAGTATTAGTAAGATATATATATTTGTACTTCTGCAAAATTGCCCTTTTATTTTTTAAAAAATTTTTAAGATGTTTTTATTATTGAGACAGAGAGTAACAGAGCATGAGTGGGGGAGGGGCAGAGAGAGAGGGAGACACAGAATCCAAAACAGGCTCCAGGCTCCGAGCTGTCAGCACAGAGCCCAACACGGGCCTCGAACCCACGAACCACGAGATCATGACCTGAGCCGAAGTCAGATGCTTAACCGCCTGAGCCATCCTAGCGCCCCAAAATTGCCCTTTTAGAATGAGAGAATTGCTAGATAACATTTGTCTGTATTAGTAGTAGTTATAAATTGGCTTTAGTAAAATCCCGAGGCTGGTTACTCTTTTTACAGCTATCTGTTTCCAGATGGACGGAATCAGAATCCTGACCTGACAGGCTTATGTGAACCAACTCCCCAAGACCACATCAAAGTGACCCAGGTGAATTTTGTTGTATGGCACAGCCATAGCTCTAGCGGCCAGCTTTTGTATGTGCTGTACAGAACTGACAGGAGTGTTGTGTTAAGTGGTTGGAACATTTACATTTATATATTTATACTATTTTTTAATGCTTATTTTTGAGAGAGACAGAGGGCAAGAGGGGGAGAGGCAGAGAGAGAGAGAGACACAGAATCCGAAGCAGCCTCCTGGCTCCAAGCTGTCAGCACAGGGCCCTGCATGGGGCTGGAACCCACGAACCTCAAGATCATGACCTGAGCAGAAGGCGGACACTTAACCGACTGAGCTGCCCAGGCGCCCCAGAACATTTACATTTTAAACCATTGACTAGATTAGTGAATTTATGTGTGTGTGGTTTCTCTAAAGAACTTAAAATAAGACTAAGACTGAGTGCTTTTTCCCCCCTTTTAATGAGAGACTCTTGACTGCTTTTGTACAAGCCAATTTTGTATAGAAAATAGCAGTCGTTTTAGTTTTTCTCTTGTTAGCATTTACAGTTATGATCATTTATTCATTCAACAAATATCTGAATAGGCTGAGTAATCTCTTGTATTTTTTTTAATCAAAGGAACAATATGAATTATACTGTGAGATGGGCTCCACATTCCAACTGTGTAAAATATGTGCTGAAAATGACAAGGATGTAAAAATCGAGCCGTGCGGACACCTCATGTGCACGTCCTGTCTCACGTCCTGGCAGGTATGGGTCCAGACCGTGCGTTTTCTCAGCTGTGTAATCACTCTGAAGAACTGGGGATTGTGTATCCTTTGCAGATAAAAAAAGATGGCCTGGTTTGTGGGGTAGGTTTTGAGTTTTTGATTTCTTTTTTCATCTCTAGGAAATGCAATTCCCAGCGGGCAGATCTTGTCAGTACTTTGAGACGTGTCTGTTACCATCTCCTGTTTTCTTCTGCAGGAATCAGAAGGCCAGGGCTGTCCTTTCTGCCGATGTGAAATTAAAGGTACTGAACCCATTGTGGTAGATCCGTTTGACCCTAGAGGAAGCGGCAGCCTGCTCAGGCAAGGAGCCGAAGGAGCTCCCTCCCCAAATTATGAGGATGACGACGACGAACGAGCTGATGATTCTCTCTTTATGATGAAGGAGTTGGCTGGGGCCAAGGTAAGACTGCACTTTAAGAGACTGTGGCAAACTCCATGGTGAGCTGTGCTCTAAAGCGGTAGAGCACCTGATGACATTGATCTACATGGGGTCAAAGTAGCTTATGTTTATTGAGTATGTATTATGCGAGAGATACCATGTTAAATACTTCTCTTATTTTAACTCCTACAGTCCTGTACTCGTATATACTCCAATAACGCAGAAGTAGATACTTTTCTTCTCATTAAGCAGATGAAGAAACCAGTGCATGGCAAGGTTAAGGAATTTGCTGGAAATCACACCGCTAGTGAGTTGAACCAGGGTCTGTGGCTAGACCTTCTGGATTTAAGGCCCACCCCCTGTGTCCTAGAATTGGCTTTACTCACATAGCTTGTTGGAGAGAATGGGGGGGCAGGTATAAAACAGTAGGGCCCAGGGGCGCCTGGGTAGCTCAGTTGGTTAAGTGTCCAACTTTGGCTCAGGTCATGATCTCACGGTTCGTGGGTTTGAGCCCTGCATCGGGCTCTGTGCTGACAGCTAGTTCAGAGTCTGGAGACTTTTGGATTCTGTGTCTCCCTCTCTCTATGACCCTCCCCTGCTCATGCTGTCTCTCTCTCAGAAATAAATAAAACATTAAACCAAAAAAAAATAAAAAAAAAATGAAACAGGACCCAGTTTTGCTGCTGTGCGGAGAATGGTCTTCTTGCCTTTGTTCCTGACTTCTTGGCATTGGAAGGTGAGATTGTGGAGAGAGAGGCACTGTTAGTAACCAAATAAATGACAACCACAGTGACCAGAGGGTGGATGGAGGTTCCATGTAGAAACTAAACAAACTGAGAGGATAATGACCAGGAAAGGATGGGATCCAATTCAGTAACATATGTGGATAGGGTAAAACGGATTTATTCACTAATTAGAAGTAAGGCAGTCCTTGAAGATTGTAGCCAATGTAGGGCAGACAGAAGCTTCTGATATGCTTTAGTTGTCTAGTTTAGAGTTACAAACTCACAGGCAGCTTTCTTTCATATCAGTACCTTACTGCCTGGCACATAGTAGGTGCTCAATATGTATTGAAAGAATGGATGTGCTCTCTTAAATGATTATATCCAGTGTGTCTCCTCTCTGTCCTCAGTGCCATCGCCTTATTTGAGGCTGTCTTCCTTTCTTCTCCCTGCTGCCGGAACCATTGGTCTACAGTGCACACTTGACCACTTCATTGCTCTGCCTCATACTCTTACCACAGACTTCTCATAACTTAAGGGGTTAAGCCATTCTCCTTTCAAGGCACTTTGGCCTTACAGTCCTTTCTGCTTTATGTTTTGTGGTCCGGCAAGGCCAAACCACTAAAATCTCTCCGTGCTTTTGTTGTGGTGGTTTCTGTGTAATTCAGCTGAGGTTTCATTTCCTAGGAAACCTTTCCAGACTGTTCCCTGCCTCTTCCACCCCCTAGTTCACATGTATTTACACGTACATCATTTCTAGGTCCTGCCGGGTGCCTCTGGGACACTGAATGTGTCTGTTGTAGAACTTACTTCCCTGTAATATTTTATAAATGTATTTCCTGGTATATTATAAATTCCTAGAAAGCAAGAGCCGTGTCTCATTTGTAATTTGCTACTCAAAATTGAGCACTTAGTAATTACTTTGAATGCTTGGGAATTGAAACTGCTTTCAAAACAGGATTGATATATCTATGCTGTATCAATAACAGATATTTGAGGGAATCTAGAGTGAGGTGTACCTTTTTGGTTTTTTGATGTGGACAGATTGTTTGAAGTCTTGGCCCTTATAACAGGCTCTTTGGTTCCATGTTAAGAGATTAATTCGACTTCTAAAGCCATGTTATGTTCTTACATAAATTTCTGTGTGTTTATTCATGAAAATTTCTTGGTAACTCCTGGAATACTAGGGAAGCTGAATAAAAAGATAAGGAGGTGAGCTTTCATGAATGCGTTTATTTAAAATTAAAATGACCCCTTCGTGAAATTTATTATAGAGAAATACTGTGGAGAAATAGGCATCACATTCATTGTTGATGTGGGTATAAATTAGCCCATCTTTCTGAAGGACAATTTGACATCTGTCAAAATGTGTAATGTTCAGAGTGTAAACTAGCAATTCCAGTATTTTAGCAGTTTATCCTGAGTGGGACGCCTGGATGGCTCAGCCGGGTGAATGTCCGACTCTTGATTTCTGCTCAGGTCGTTATCCCAGGGTCATGGGATCAAACCCCACCTCGGGCTCTTTGCTCAGTGTGGAGCCTGCCTAAGATTCTCTTTCTCTTTCCCACTGCGCCTTTCCCAGCTTGAAGAGGAGTACTCATTCTCTCAAATTAAAAAAAAAAAAAAAAAAAAAATCAGATAAACACATAAAGATGTGCATGTAGTTATTCTTACAGCATTATCTGTAATGATGAAAAATCAGAATGAACTCACATGTCCAGCAGTAAGAAATTATGATACATCCATGTGATTGTATTCTATGGCTGCCATACCAAATTACTACAAATTTGGCAGCCTAAAACAACACAAACATGTGGTTACGGTTTCATAGGCCAGAAGTGCAGCACGTGTGCAGTCAAGGTAAAATCAGGCTGTCGGCAGATCTGTAGTTCTTTCTGTAGGCTCTAGGGGAAGATGCATTTCCTTTCTCATTTGGATGTGGCAGAGTTTAGTTCATTGCCAGTTGTGGGATTGAGATTCCTGCATCCTTGCTGGTGTCAGCTCGGGCTCTCCCTATTCCAGCGGTCAGCCCCATTCTTCGGATCCTGGACTCCTTTCCTCCTCCTTCCCCCTTATCTCTTGGAGGTTCTCTGCTTTTAAGGACTCTTGGGATTAGATGAACCATCCTGATAGTCCAGGATAATTCCCCCATCTCAAGATCCACACCCTTATTCATATCAGCGGAGTTCTCCTTTTACCAGGGAAAGTAAGGTATCCAGAAAGTAAGTTTCTGCGTTGTGCATGAACATCTTAGGGCCGGGGACAGGGAATCCTCATTCTGGCTACCACAGTCCACATAATGGAATGTTCTACAGAAGGAGTTCAGTTTACATACACTTCAGTGGAAAGCTGTCTCCCATATATCTATGTATAATAGATTTTATTTATTTAAAAAAATTTTTTTAATGTTTTCTTTATTTCTGAGAGAGAGAGAGCGTGAGCAGGGGAGGGTCAGAGAGAGAGAGATACAGAATCTGAAACAGGCTCCAGGCTCTGAGCTGGCTGTCAGCACAGAACCTGATGCAGGGCTTGAACCCACAAACCGTGAGATCATGACCTGAGCCGAAGTTGGACGCTTAACCGACTGAGCCACCCAGGCGCCCCTATATATAGATTTTAAAGTTTATTTTGAGAGAGAAAGAATGTGAGCCTGGGGGGCCAGGGAGAGAGAGAGAACCCCGAGCAGGCTCTGTGCTGTTGTCACAGAGCCCCATGCACGGCTCCATCCCACAAACTGTGAGATCATGACCTGAGCTGAAACCGACCGAGCCACTCAGACGCCCCTAATGTATATTGTTAAAAAAAAAAAAATTGTATACTATAGTGTCACCTTATTTTTGTAAACAACAAAAAAATGGTTGTAAAAGATTCCTAATGTGATCTGTGTGAATGATTTTAAATTTACTCATTTAACTAAAAGTAATAAATATACACTGTAAATATTCAAATCGAGAAAAAACAGCTTCATGTGTTGTCACTTGGCTATTCTATGATTTATTTATAGTATTTCCTTTTTTAAAAAAGATTTCAAAGAATCTGTACACCCAACATGGAACTCAACCTCATGACCCTGCTTTTTTAAAGTTTGTTTATTTTTGGGAAAGTGTGTGAGCAGGTGAGGGGCAGAGAGAGAGGGAAAGAGAATCCCAGGCAGGCTCTGCGCTGTCAGTGTGGAGCCTAACTTGCTGGGGCTTGAACTCAGGACCAGTGAGACCATGACCTCAGTCACAGCAAGAGTTGGATGCTTAACTGACTGAGCCAACTAGGTGCCCCCAATTTATGTAGTCTCTTAATGAATATTTTGTATTATTTCGAGACTTATACGGACTGGTGTTCTTTTGCAAGTCTGTCTGTAGGATAAATTCCTAGCAGTGGAATTGCTGAATGAAAGTGAAGGTACATTTAGAGTCTTTGATGGAGGAAAAGATACAGTTAGGGGCGAGGCACAGGGGGATTTCACAGAGACGGCACTATTGCATTTCTTAGATGTACTACCTAGGTGTTTGTTATTCGCATTTGTATGAATAAAATATTTTATAAAATATTTTTTTCTATAGATACTAAAATTTATCCCCAGTCTTCTATTGTAAAATCACTCGCAACGGTCTAGGAGACTAGGAGGGTGCCTGTTGCGTCACGTGCCGGGTAGCTGCTGTTGAGGGTTTTTTGTTGCTCTTTTATTTCGGTTTATTTTTAATACAGTGAATCTACTTATTACAAAATCCAAATGATAAATGTGTATGGATTTTTTGGTAAGTGTAAAAGAATTGCTAGAAGGCTGGGAGAGCCTTGGCTCCCTGCCTCCACCGCCCTCCCTTCGGCTCCTCTGTGTGCCCTGCTCAGATTTGTTCGTTCTCGAACCCTTCAGACCATCTACTTGCACTCCTTTCTTTTGCCTTTTCAGTAGCAGCCTCTGATCACTTCAGGTGTTGTACAAAAGGAGTTATTATCTCCCTCCTTCCTACACTGTTTCTCTCTCCCTACTACATTTGAGTGGTTTTTGGCCAAATCACCAGTCGGTGTGTAAATGGTTTTGCTCCCTACTGCTCCAAGTAATACATACTACGATAGAATTGCTGCTGTGTTCGCATACGGCCTTCTGCTCTCCTTGGGATAATTGCTTTATTTTTATTTCCTTAGTTTTCCCCGTCACTGCCAAGTCTTAACCAAGCTGTCCAATATCCTCTCAATTCTCTAAATACAGTAGATAGTATATAATCTAGTGTAGGACCATATGGGAGTCCTTCACGTTCCAGCCCCAGCCTGGACTCTCTGGGGGTGCTGCGCCCCTGGCCCCTGGAGCCTTCCTCTCGCCCCATGAAACCTCCGTCCCTCCTTTCTGTGGAAGTGCCTGTGAAACGCGTTCCTTCTTTCTTGCTTTACTTTCTTGTTTGGATAGAGTATGTCCTCAAAAAGGTGAGAGGTAAAATTTTTGAGATGTTTGATATCTTACAGTATCTTTGTTCAACCTCTAGACGGACTGGTGACAGAATAGTAGGTTGAAAAAGACTCAGCTCTCAATTGTTATGGCTTCACTTTGCTTCTAGATTCTAGTTTGCTGTTTTGTGCTCCCTTTCCCTCTGTCCCAAGAAGCTTTTAGGTTATTTTCCTTATCCTTGATTCCTTGAAAATGTAAGGTTTGTTTATTTGCTTGCTTGTTGTGGGTTTTTTCCTTTATCGGACTAACTGTGCGGTGAGTAAACCTTTCCTGTGGATATTTGTGTCCGTTAGGTCACAGAAACATTCTTGTTTTATTTCTCTGATAATTTCTTCTCTGTGTTTTTCTCCTTTTCTGGGACTTTCTTATATGTTGACATAAAAGAAGATTGCAAAGGTCAGTTATGACAGTGAGCCATGAATTACAGAGTATGATTAGCTCAACCTCTGCACTTCAGGAATGAGAATGAGTGATAGATGGTGAGAGGGGTTAAAATAAGCTGGTTCAGTCGGTGCAATGAGTGACTCTTGGGGTTGTGAGTTCAAGCCCCATGTTGGGTATAGAGATCACTTAAAAATAAAGTCTTAAAAAAAAAAAAAGCAGAGAGGGCCTTTCAGATTGGGAAACAACTTGAACAAAGGCAAGGAGGTAGGAATTCCAGAGTTGAGATGCCTGGGGAAGTGAGAATTACTGTTGAATGGTTTTTTGAGCCACTGCGTATTTAAGGATGGCTAAGCTGGTAATGGTGAGCAAAAGGATTTGGCGAGATAAGAAACCAGAAGTTGGGAGAATTGCTAGAAGATGGTTTTAATAAATCGGGTGTGGGATTGGTGAGCAGAATGAAAAGGCACATAAAGATACGAGACTCTTTCATGGAAAAATCAGGACACTGTGACTGGCTAGAAACTGATGACAAAGTGAGAATTAGCCTGAGTTTCTTAACCCTTGAGGTGCCTGGCTGCTCCCACTGCATTGCTCATGCACCACTGACATGGAGTCTGTTTTCTTAGGCATGAGAAAAAGCAGGTAGCTGGTGATGAGGGCATTTTTTGCCCTCCTTTATCACCCAGCATTAATGACAGGACTAAGTATGTGAATGGTTGTTTTTCTGTCATTTTGCATAAGGGCTTGTCATACGTATTTGCCCATACTCCGTCTGTATTGCTTCCTGGAGCAGAATGCAGAGGCCAAGTAGCATTTTGTATGAATTCTGCCTCTTGATGGCTTACCTGGGAAAGTGTATCAGCTGTTCATCGCCCTGCTATCGGCACAGAAGTGGAGGAGGTTAGACATGTACGGCTTCGCCTAACTTGGCACCTCATTTTTTTTAAGAACACAGAGAAAATATTAATCACTTTAAATCACCAAACGGAAATAACTTATTCAGAAGGACTCTCAAGGTGTTTTTTAGCGACACTGTTGATTGTTTTCCTCTTAAAACATCTATGTTTTTTCTTCTTTGTATCCTAATAACCCGTGGAGAATCTCTCATCTTTGGTCTCTTTCACTGTCCTGTGCCTTAAATGTTTTTTTTCCCAGGTGGCTTGTTGAAAGGTTAACGTCTGCTCCTTTCTTCTCGTATGGGTTCGTGTTTGTCCCCTTGAAAAGATTTTTTTATTTCTCTGAAGGCGAGGATGTGGAAAAGTGTAGTATCTGTTTTCAGTTGTAAGCCGGGAAGCTTTCTGTAGCACAGCCATTTCCAGATCCTTGGCCTGTAACTTGCATCTTGGTGTTCCTGTGACTGCGAGTGCCCTCTTATGGTGACACAGAACTAACTCAGGAAGTCTGAGCCATTCGCAGCTCTAGTCAGTGGTCATATAGTACTCGCAGTCTGCAGCCTTTGGAGGAGTCGGGAGGTGCCACCCTCTCAAACAAGAATAACCTATTAGGAAATTTGATTTGTGTCAGGTGGAACGGCCTCCTTCTCCATTTTCAATGGCCCCGCAAGCCTCCCTTCCCCCGGTGCCACCGCGGCTTGACCTTCTGCAACAGCGGGTGTCTATTCCTTCAAGTGCTTCTGGGCTTGGAAGTGCTTCTAAGGTAAGACGTTATCCGTTTCTACGGTTTTCTGATTCTTTGTTGTGGATTAGTGGTGGTGGTTGTTGGGTGTTTTGTTGTTGTTGTAGATTAGTGGGTTTGATTTTGCTTTCCTCCTGCGTCCACAGGCAGCTTCTGGCTCCCTTCATAAGGACAAACCATTACCAATACCTCCGACGCTTCGAGATCTTCCACCACCGCCCCCTCCAGACCGGCCATATTCTGTTGGAGCAGAAACCCGGCCTCAGAGACGCCCCTTGCCTTGCACACCAGGCGACTGTCCGTCCAGGGACAAACTGCCCCCCGTTCCCTCTAGCCGCCTTGGGGAATCATGGCTGCCTCGGCCGATCCCCAAAGTACCAGTGGTTGCCCCAAACTCTAGTGACCCCTGGACAGGTAGGGAATTAACCAACCGGCACTCACTTCCATTTTCATTGCCCTCCCAAATGGAGCCCAGAACAGAAGGGCCTAGGCTTGGAAGCACATTCAGTGTGGATACCTCCATGGTGAGTGCTGCTTTTGGAATTATTTAGCCTTATTTAGCCTGTTAACAAATATTTGTGGATGGCATTGAACGGGTCACACTTTTGTATACGTTTTGTATAGGAGTCAGATAATAATCCCTACTCTCAGAAGTATATATACCTTCGAGAAGTATGTTAGTAGAGCAGATAAGGCATGTTTGTAAATACTGCAATATGTATGTGGATGCATGTGTGCATTTGTGTGTGTGTAGATATGGCTGGATTCATGTAGTGTAAATAGAAGACACTTCAGTTTTGGAGAAAGGAGAGGTTATTTCCAAATAGAGCAATCATCAGGGCTTTATGGAATGAATGGCATCTGAATTTGAAGTGTTCTTTCCCAAGTGGACAGTTTTAAGGTCAGAACCACGGAGATACAAATGCTTGAGGTGTGTTGTGGAATTAGAAGTAGATTAATATGAGTGGAGCAGAAGTTTTCTATATCGGGGTGGGGGAAAGGTGAAAGGGAGCATTAGTACTAGATTAGAGGACGTTGAACATCCCATCGAGGCCAAATGGATTGCTAAGAGAATAGATTGAAGAAAGGTTAGTGGTTCATTGAACAAGCATGAGCTAAGGGTCCCGGCCTGGGGGTGGGGAGGTGTGTTTGTCCTTTTGCTGGCTCGTTTATGTATGTTCTCGAACAAGAAATCTTACCTTACAAAGTTTACTTCTGCTGGAGTCAAGGCAAAATGAACTCGGTGAGCTAATGATGAAAGAGAGGATGTTGGGTGCTGCTGAGTGCTCTGGAGGAAAATAACACACAAAGGGGGGGAGGTGTGGGGACAGCTGGAGTTGGGGTGAGGGGTACGCGGAGGGATGGGGAGCCATTCTGAGCAAAGACCTGGAGCGATCTGTGCTGATTCTGAGGGAGACCGTCCAGGATGAAGGGGAAGCCAGTGAGTTTGGGAGAGTCTGTGAGGAATCACAAAGGGGCTCATGTAGCTGGTGCTTAAGTAAGCAAGAGGGAGAATGATCTAGTGCATGTTTCGTTGCCCTGCCTTCTCGGTGTACGTGAGCAGTGTTACTTCTTGCATGCTGTACAGATAGTTGAAGGTTAATTAGCAGTACAAGTAAACCGTAATGCTGTCTGTCTCCTTCAGACAAATAAAAAGAGAGGGAATGGTCTGTGAGTAGTGAAGTTGAGGAATGCTGTGGCCCTTAAATGAACCGCCTGTCTCTTGGTTGCAAGAGAAGGGGGAGGGTCACTTACATTTAAGTGGCATATGTGTGATAGGCAGTCTAATTTGCAAGAATAAATTAGGCTTGACTTTCTGGTGGCACCATTGTAGAAAGAGGTACAGATTTTTAAAGTTAGAAACGGTATTTGTGTAGACAGCCAGTTTCCTCAAACCTTCCAGAATTAAAACAAAACCCCACATCTCCTTGGCTCTTTTTAATCTTTTTTTTTTTTTTAACGTTTTTTTATTTATTTCTGAGAGAGAGACAGCGTGAGCAGGGGAGGGTCAGAGAGAGAGAGGGAGACACAGAATCTGAAACAGGCTCCAGGCTCTGAGCTCGCTGTCAGCACAGAGCCTGACGCGGGGCTCGAACCCAAGAACCATGAGATCATGACCTGAGCCGAAGTCGGACGCTTAACTGACTGAGCCACCCAGGTGCTCCACCTTGGCTCTGTTTAGATCTCTATCTTCCTAACCCTTAAACTTTCTTCAGAGCCTGAAAGAAACCCTTCTTTTGTTGATATGTAATAACCCGTAAGCATGACTTGAGAGTGCTATCTGTGTCTATATTACTGTTCTTGTTATTTTGAATAAGTTAAATAAATAAGAAGAGATACTGGGCTGTGTTAAGAAGGTTCTTTCTCACCACTTGTCTTTCCAGAATATGAATAACAGCCCACTAGCAGGTTCAGAGTGTGAGCACCCCAAAATCAAACCTTCTGCGTCTGCCAATGCCATTTATTCTCTGGCTGCCAGGTAAGTACTAAAGCTGTATCTCAAAAGATAAGGTTTTTTTTAACGTTTATTTGAGAGAGAGAGAGAGAGAGAGCACTAGAGGGGAAGGGGCAGTAGAGACGGAGACGCAGGATCCAAACTCTGAGCTGTCGGCACAGACAGAGCCTGATGGCGGGGCTCGAACTCATGAACAGTGAGATCATGACCTGAACTGAAGTTGGATGCTCGACTGACTGAGCCACCCAGGCTCCCCTAAAGCTGTATTTCACAGTGGAGTTGGTTCTGTTAAAACCGCTCAGTCATGGAATTTAGAAAACCCAGAGGAGTATAAAGAAAATTAAAGTTGATCTGTACTTGTATCCATTCAGAATTCTTATATTTTCTGTCTTGGGCTAATTTTTTTTCCTCTGTGTGTGTTCTCTGTCTTGCTGAGCTTAACAATTTTATTCATCTTCTCAAAGAAGCAGTTCTGGTTCTGTTGGCTTTTGTAAACAATTCTTAATTCGTAGAGTTTTAAATTTTAATTCTTAGGTGTCTGTTTTGTGTGTGTGTGGTAAAAAAAAAAAAAAACAAAAACAACCCCACATAACTGTACCATCTTACAAGCGTACAGTTCAGTGGTATTAAAAACATTCACTTCACACAACCATCCCTACCATCCATGCTCGTAAACTCTTCATTTCGTAAAGCGTAAACTCTGTGCCTATTAAACAGCAGCGCCTCATCCTTCCCTCCCCCAGCTCCTGGCAGCCACCGTCACACTTTATCTTTATGATTTTGATAACTGTACTGCCTTTAAGTGAAATCATGCAGTCTTTGTCTTCTTGTGATTTAATTCACTTATCATAATGTCCTCATTCATGTTGTAGAATAGTGCAGAATTTCCTTCCTCTTTAAGGCTGAATAATATTCCAGCTGTATGTAGTACGCCCACCCCCGCCCCGTGCCTTATCTGCAGGGGTTACGTTTCTTTTTTTTTTTTTTTTTTTTTAATTTTTTTTTTTTTTTTTTTTTTTTTTTTTTTTTTTTTTATTTTTTTTTTTTTTTTTTTTTTTTTTTTTTTCTAGGAGAGAGAGAGAGACAGTGTGAGCAGGGGAGGGTCAGAGAGAGAGGGAGACACAGACTCTGAAATTGGCTCCAGGCTCTGAGCTGGCAGTCAGCACAGAGCCCGACGCGGGGCTCGAACCCACAAACCGCGAGATCATGACCCAAGCGAAAGTCAGACGCTTAACCGACTAAGCCACCCAGGCGCCCCTGCAGGGGTTACGTTTCAAGACCCCCAATGAATGCCTGAAACCGAGGCTAGTACTGAAGCATGTCTGTGTTGTTTTTTCTATACATACATGCATGCACACATGCATACGTACATACATGAAGTGTAGTTTATAAATTAGGCAGAGTAAGAGATTAACACTCCTAAAGCAGCACAGTTAGAGCAGTGTGCCACGGTACAAGTCTGTGAATGTGGGGTCTCTCGAATACTGTACTGTACTCACCCTTCTTGGGATGATGTGAGATGGTAAAATGCCCATGTGATGAGATGAAGGGAGCTGAGCGATGTGGACACTGCAACAAAGTGTTAGGCCACTATTAACCTTCTGATGGTGCGTCAGGAGGAGGACTATCTGCCTCCAGACCACAATTGACCGTGGGAACGTAAAACCACAGAGATTGCAGATAAAGGGGGACTGCTGTGCCACAGCTTGCTTATCCGCTCGTCGGTGGATGGACGCTTGGATCGGTTCTGCGTTGCTGCTCTTTGCGAAGAGTACTGCTGTGGAGGCAAGTGAACCAACCAGGACTCTTCGGGGCCCTATTTCCAGTTCTTGTGACCCGGTACCCAGAACTAATATTCCCCGATCATAGGATAACTCTTTGTTTGATTTTTTTTTTTTTTTTTTTGAGACACCATCATACGGTTTCCCGCAGCAGCTATTGCACCATTTTCCATCCCCACCAGCAGTGCACAAGGATTCCAGTGTCTCTGCATTCTTGCTGACTCCTGTTACTTTGGGGGCTTTTTTTTTTTTTTTTTTAATAGTAGTCATCCTAATGGGTGTGAGGTGATTTCTTATACTTTTGATTTGCGTTTCCCTAATGATTAGTGATGTCGAGCATTTTGTGATGTGTTTATTGATCATTTACGTATCTTCTTTGGAAAAATGTTTATTTGAGGCATTTGCTCATTTTCAGTTTTTTTAAGTTGCCTTATTTTGAGAGAGAGAGAGAGCACAAGCTGGGGAGGGGCAGAGAGAGAGAGAGGGAATCCCAGGCTCTGCGCGCTGATAGCGCAAGGGCTCGAACCCATGAACATTGAGATCTCGACCCGAGCTGAAACCAAGTGAGCCACCCAGGCACCTGCTTGTTTTTTAATTGGATTGTTTGTTCTTTTGCCGTCGTCACATCAGGTTTTAGAAGTTCTCTGTATATCCCGGATGCTAATCTTGTATCAGATAATGATTTGCAAATAACTCCCTCCCATTCTGTGGGTTGCCATTTTATCGTGGATAGAATTTTTCGATGCATAAAAATTGTTAAAAATTTTTATGAGGTGGGGCATCCAGCTGCCTCACTTGGTGGAGCATGTGACTATTGACTTCAGGGTTGTAGGTTCAACCCGCACATTAGGTGTAGAGATTACTTTAAAAAATTGGGGTGGAGAGGTCCTGGTGGCTAAGCCGGTTAAGCATCCAACTTCAGCTCAGGTCATGATCTCATGGTAAAAAAAAAAAAAAAAAAAAGTACAGTTACCAACCATTGCCGCCTTTCAGCATTTTAAGAATATTCCTTTGTTTCTGTTGAAACATCAGCTCTCAGGCTTAATGCTGCTTCTTTACAGGTAGTGTTTCTTTGCATGACTACTTGTAGAAGACCTCTTTGCCTTTGGATCCCAGAGCTGGTACTATAATGCTCCTAGTTTTCTTTATTCTACTTAAGGTTAGTAGAGTTTATCAATTTTGTGGCTTAATGTTTTAAAACCTGTTTTATAAAGTTTCAAGCCACTCTTTCTTAAAATAGACTGAGCACTGCCATCTCTCCCTTTCCTGTGACCACAGTTACTGAACGTCCCACCTCTTGGCCGGACCTCATCCACCTCTTCTGCTCTCTGCTGTGTTTTCCTTTCCTCTCTTACTTTGATATCAGTAGTTTCTACACTGTTCCAGTTCTCTGATCTTCTCTTTTGCAGCTTCTAATCTGCCCTAAATCTTCTTATTTTTAGGTTCTGGAATTTCCACGTGACTTTTAAAAATTTACTAATTCTAATTTTCTAATAAAAGTCTCCATTCTTCTTTTTGTCATTGAACACGTGAAGTGTAATTGTTCAGAGGCCGTACCTGTTAACCCCAGCTTTGTCTCCGGGTTAGTGAGGTAGCCAGACTATCAGTTAAGCCCTTCTGTTAGCACCGTCGGCTCGGTTTCTCAGAATCTGCGGGCCTCCAGACATGGGTCAGGGGTTAGCTGCAGTTCCAGAGAAGACTGCGGCAGAATTTCAGACCCACTTCTCCCCTGTGCCCTTCTCCAGGACTTTTGCCTCCTGTGTCTTGGCCATCATGAAACCCCAAATTTCTAGTCCCTTTCTCTCCAGCCTGTTGAAACTGCCTTCACATCTCAAGTTCACAACCGCTGCATGGGGCATACTTTGAGGTATTCTTCTCTGGAGTCTTGGCCTCTTGAGCCTTGGCTGCCAGGCCGCTCTCCAGTGCCTCCTTTCTTTTGTATTTCATCCTGCTCGTACGGCTGCTTCAGGCAGTTGGATGATGGTTGCTCCTTGGTCATGTCTGTAGACACACAAAATGTACATATGTCTTAAAGTGTACTTTCATAGTCTCCCTTTTATTAACCTTGGCCTTATATTTTGGGCATTTCTCCCTGTCATTAAAAAAGTTTTTTAACACCTCAGTGTGTATAGCAGCATTATCAACAGTAGCCCCAAACTAGGAAGAGAGCCTAAATGTCCATCGACTGATGAATGGATAAAGATGTGGTAATATGTACACAATGGAATATTACTTAGCCATCAAAAAAAAAAAAAATGGAATCTTACCATTTGCAACATTGTGGATGGAGCTAGAATGTATTATGCTAAGCAAGATAAGCCAATCAGAGAAAGACAAATACCATATGATTTCACTTATAGTGGAATTTAAGAAACAAAGCAGGTGAACATATGGGAAGGAGGAGGTGGAAGAGGAGAGAGGGAAACAAACCACAAGAGACTCTTAATGATAGAGAACAAACTGAGGGTTGATAGAGGGAGGTGAGTTGGGGGATGGGCTAGATGGGGGATGGGCATTAAGGAGGACACGTGATGAGCACTGGGTGTTGTATGTGATGAATCACAGAGTTCTCCTGAAACCAATATTGCAACGTACGTTAACTAAAATTTTTTAAAAAGTTTTTCAAAATAGTCACTGGAATGGTTGTATAGCATCATATAGCGTAGCTAGCTATAACATTACATATTTAACCCATTGCTCTGTTGTTGGATATTTATTTTGTATAAAACCACTTACCATCATAAATTTGCTTCATTGAACATCTTTACATAACCAGAGACACAGCCGAAGTAGAATTACCGGGACAAGAGATTGTGAGTGTTTTGCAGTATGTATTGCCAAGATACTTAATGAGAAGGAAGTGCAGTTCTATATTTTTATTACCATCATCAACAAAAAATTCTAATAATTAAAATGTTTTGCTTGCCCTTTCATTGACCTTTTTCGCTTTATGAAAGTAATATGCTAAAGAATACTTAGAAAATAGAGAGATGTGACACTGAAGAAATGAAAGTTACCCATAATCTTACCACCTAGATTTAGACAGTCGTTAGCAATTTGACGATCTCTTCGTTGCCATTCTTTGTGGGTATGGAATCCTGTCGTACGTGCTTTTTTTCACTAGGAGGACCTTGAACATCCTAGGATGTCATTATATATTCTCCTACTACGATGATTTTCAAGTTATTGCAGATGATTACACAGCAGCGGAACTGACTTAATTGGAACCTTAGTAGGTAAAATAGATAAGAACACCTACTGTGGTAGAAGGAAGTGAGCCTCTGAGGCTCCTGCTTAGAACCTCTAAGGCACCGAGGGACCCAGTTGGCTTCAGGTATATTGCTATGTATGTGGTTCCAAGGTTACTTGATTCAGTACAATATTATTTGACAGGTTATCTCCTATTTTTTCAGTATCTTAAATAATGCTCTAGTGAATATTCTTGATTATTTCCTTAGGGAAAGTTCTTAGAAATGGAATTGCTGAGCCTGAGCATATGCCTGCCTGTTCGGTTAAATATTTTTGGTGAATTACGCTCCAGAAAAATTATACCAATTTCTTATTTCTAAAACTACATGAAAATACTATTTCCCTCCATCTTCACCAATACTTGATATTTTTCTTAATCTTGATGGATGGGTTTTACCCATGAACAATTTATTATGAAAAGTTTCAAGCATAGAGTCAGGGTGACAGATTTTTACAGTGAACATCCATATACCCCCACCTGTGTTCTATCAACATTTTCTTACGCTCACTTACACTTTTTTTTTTTTTTTAATCCAAGTTAGCGTATAGTGCAACAGTGATTTCAGGAGTAGATTCCTTAATGCCCCTTACACATTTAGCCCATCTTCCCTCCCACAACCCCTCCAGCAATCCTGTTTGTTCTCTGAATTTGGAGTCTCTTCTGTTTTGTCCCCTCCCTGTTTTTAGATTATTTTCGCTTCTCTTTCCTTACATTCATCTGTTTTGTATTTCAGATTCCTTATATGAGTGAAGTCATATGATATCTGTCTTTCTCCGACTAATTCCGCTTAGTATAATACCCCCTGGTTCCATCTACTCTTTTTTTTTTTTTTTTTTATCATCTCTACACCCAGCGCAGGGCTTGAACCTACAAATCTAAGAGTTACATACTCCCAACAACCGAGGCAGCCAGACACCTCTCTACCTATCCTACTGTCTATCCGTCAGTCTATCTTACTTCGTGGGCACATTTCAGAGCATATTGTAGATCCTAACATGCTTCTAACTCAGAACTTCCGCATGCAGCGCACAAATCAAGTATTATGTAGACGTACAAATCAAGTATTATGTAGACGTAAGAAAAATCTCCAGTTAGATTAGAGGGACTGTTGCTTTGTCTTGGGTTTCTGTAAGTGGTTTATAATAAGCGGCTCTTGCTTTTATAATTGGGAAAAAGAAACACAGAGTAAATACAGACGCATCCAGTAGGTGCTCCCTATCAAGTGTTTAGGGTGTGCAGAACAAATAGAGGAAGGGAGGAGCGCCCCTCTTTAACTCACGTTCCCAGCAGCAGTTATGTGTATGTGTGCACCTGTGCATGTGTCTTGTTTTGTGGCTGTTTCATTTTCCTGTTGTTTTTGTCGTTTCCCTTTTTAATTTTTTATTTATTTATTTTTGAGAGAGAGAGAGACAGCGTGAGCTGGGGAGGGTCAGAGAGAGAGGGAGACACAGAATCCCAAGACAGACTCCAGGCTCTGAGCCAGCTGTCTGCACAGAGCTTGACACGGGGCTCAAACCCACGAACCATGAGATCATGACCTAAGCTAAAGTCGGACACTTAACTGACTGAGCCCCCTAGGCGCCCCTTTTGTCAAGTTTCTTGGGTGGGGGGAGGGAGCAGGAGAATTTTTGATTCTAAAGCTACTGACTGAGAGCTTTGGGTGTAACCACAAGATCCTTGAAGCAGGAGTCAGAAGATGGCAGGTCCCATCTCAGAATTGATGCTAACCTACCCAGGCACTTGATCTCTCTTTATGGCAGAGTTTTGTTTTATAGAACAAGAAAAGGTGCTTAAACTAGGAGATAACCTATGAGGAGGCATTCAACAAGCTGCATAGTCTTTGAAACCGTAGATAGATATTAGACCTAGGATCTGGTGTAAGTTCCTAGCATGTTGTCAGAAGGTCACGGCCGCTGCTCGCTTCGTGCCTGGTGAGGGAAAAACTGGCATGCCAGCCCTTGGGCTGGGTCCCCAGTTTATTGAGGATTAGACGAACTGGCATCAAGCACTGTTCCTGTGTAGCCCGTCTCACACAACATAGCTGCATCTGTGGTCAGCTGAAAAAAACACTTAGCGTTCAGTGTGTTTTGCGATAATTAACCTGTCTTGACCGGGGAAGTAACAGCTCCCTAGGTGGCGTGTTTTGCCCTGTTGGATGGGAGTCGCCGCCTGTCTCGAAGGCGCTCATTTCACACCTACACGTTTTGCAGCTTGTTGTTTTCATTTTCTTTTTCTGTCTTCTCCCTCTTCCAGGCCCCTTCCTGTGCCAAAGCTGCCCCCCGGGGAGCAGGGTGAAAGTGAGGAGGACACAGAGTATATGACCCCCTCCTCCAGGCCTCTAGGGCTTCCAAAGCCAGATGGGAAACGGCCTTTGGACACGACACAGAGTTCACGGTATGTTCGCAGGTCTTCTCTGGGAATTCAGTGGACACCACTCACCTGCCCGGTTGCTCCCTACGTGGCGTTCTCCAGCCAGCATGAAAGCAGAAAGACGTGGAGCCTACGTACCCCAGGGTTCGGCCCATGCACCTATGGGCAATTCCACTTCTGCTTCCTCACTGTCACAGCAGTTTCAAAACCACACGTCCATTATGGGTCATGAGAGTTGATCTGGTGCCAATTATTAGTGATCTGGCAAAAGGAAAATACTATCTTGATAGACTCAGGGTCTACGGTAGTGAAGAATAGACGAGGCTTAATAAGTTTGCAGATGACAGAGTTCTATTTCTGAAGATCATATGCTACTTTCCTTCCGGTTCAGAGCGTGTGACTGTGACCAGCAGATTGATAGCTGTACGTACGAAGCAATGTATAACATTCAGTCCCAGGCGACACCGGCTGTCACGGAAAGCAGCACCTTTGGTGAGTAGCCATTCTGCTACTTTGAAAAAATCACGGATGTGCCACTGGAATGAGTCTGTCCTATGTGCCTCTTTAAGACAGCTTGGTTCTAAGCAGACTCTTCGTTTATATAATCTTCTTTGCAAAATATCTTTGATCCAGGGGCAGTAAAACCCTCTCCTCTCTCTTATTTCCTGTTCACACACCTAGTTCCCTTTGTACTTTTTCATCCTTCCAGGGCCTAGAGGCATTTGGGTTCTGTGACCTGGGCCCACAGTGCTGGCAGCTCCCTTTTATTTCCTTTGCTTTTTCACATTGATGAAATTCTTTTGTGTGTGGGTGGTGAATACTCAATTCCCATATCAAGTAGTTTACCAAGTTGAAAGTTCGAAACGGCAGCACACACAGGCCCTTTGGCCTGTCTTCCGAGGTGAAATGCCAGTAGAAACGTTGAATGAATGCTGCAAAATGGCACTTGAGTCTTCAGCTTCGGTGGCTTTTAACCCTGGCGAGGGGACCCTTTGCCACGTTGAGAAGACCGGGGCTGCAGTATCGGTGCAGATTGCGTTCTCTCTGTTCTTTTACCTCCACGCACGGTGCCTCCCAGGGCGGTTGGCCCGTGGTGGGTGGTCAGTAGCTTGGGTGCTGGATACGCATGAATGAATGAGCTGTGTGAGAAGCGGAAGATAACCACACCAACTGCTCTCCAGGTGAGGGGAATCCGGCCGTGGCCCACGCCGGCACCGGACCCGAGGAGTCTGAAAATGAGGAGGACAGCTACGACGTCCCCAAGCCGCCTGTGCCAGCAGCGCTGGCCCGGCGGACTCTCTCCGACATCTCTAACGCCAGCTCTTCGTTCGGCTGGTTGTCCCTGGAAGGCGACCCCACCTCAAGTGAGTCTCCAAGCCAGCTTGGGTTTGTGCTGAATTGCTGTGTGGCTCATGGTTTGCACTGCAACAGAGGTGACTGCCTGGTGACAGTACTTTTGTCACCAGGTGTTAGTTTATTTTAGTCTCCCTGGCAGGGAGGGGCGGGAGTGGGGGGAATGGACGCTGGTCCCGGGTCTCCATTAGGAAGTTGAACTGTAGTCAGTCTTTAGGATCCTGCCAGACTTAGAAACGAGGCTGTTCCCTAACCCGTGGCTCCTCCTGGCTGGCACTGGTAAGATTTCTGGTTCTTTGGAGTGTGTTTCGTGACACTGGTAACGAAGCTTGATGGTTCAGAGCACGCATTCCTGACTTCCGGGCCCTGTCCCAGTGGAAAGAGGGTGTGCCGGCTCTGGAAGTGCACTGAGTGGGCTCGGAGCCAGCCTGCGCTGGGGCCTCAACTGCAGGGGCTGTCCTCGCACCTGTGGCTGCCTGGGGGTGCAGCCAGAGTTGCTGTCACTTTGGAAACTGAAGACCGCTCTCAGGACAGCTGGCCGAAAAGATGCATCCCATTGCCCAGACAATTGGTGCTCCCCACCCGCCCAGCCTTGTCGAATGCTCCTCCGCTGCAACTTGGGCTCGTTTCTGTTTCCCTCTTTGGGAAAGGAGAAGTTTAGTGTCTTCTGCTTCCCTGCCAGAAAAGTGGTTAAATAATCCAGGCACTACTGCGTGTGAGAAGTGTAGAGCGTGACGCGGGTGCAGGTGCTTGTGCTCAGGACGCCAGTGTCCCTGTCCGTGGAGCAGGTGCGCGGCACATTTAGAAGGCTGCTCCTGCCGTGAGGAGGTGGTGGCGGCGGCTTTGTGCTAAAACCCCGGAACCGGTAAAACCCGGCCCTCTGAGAGCACAAGTCCCCGGTGCTGTAGGTCAGTAATACCTTGGCCTTAGCACACTGTCATGACTCCTGCCGTCAGGTGAGCGTTCCCCACCCCCCCACGTTTGCAAATATTTTCTTTTTTATTTCTTCTAGACTTCACTGAGGGCTCCCAAGTTCCCGAAAGGCCTCCCAAACCGTTCCCTCGCAGAATCAACTCTGAACGAAAAGCAAGTAGCTGCCAGCAGGGCGGTGGTGCCCCTGCCCCACCGCAGCTCTCCAGCGAGATCGAGAGCCTCATGAGCCAGGGGTACTCCTACCAGGACATTCAGAAAGCTTTGGTCATTGCCCACAACAACATCGAAATGGCCAAAAATATCCTCCGGGAATTTGTTTCTATTTCTTCTCCCGCCCACGTGGCCACCTAGCACCCCCTGCCCCGCTGCTGCGTCGTGGACCAGTGAGCCGGCCGCTCTTAGCCGAGTGGCCCCTGAAAGGGCAGAGGTTTCTTTGGAGGCTTCATGGCGAAGTTTTGCCCTCTCTGTGGGAGTTCACATCTGTGGTTCCAAGATTTCAAAGCAGTGGAATGAACATGGAGCAGCTAGTGTGTTTTATTATTTTATTTGTTTTGAGAGTGGATTCGAAGGTGTCCTTCAGTCCTCACTTTAGAGTGTGGATTCTTATTAAATGGTAGCCTACCTGGGGAACAGCCCAGAAAGCAGTAGGAGAAGTTCTCTGCTGTAAATTCTCATTGGGGACTTCAGACTTCCCTGGGTTAAGGATGTGGTTGTGTGTGTGTCTGTGGTTGCGTGTGTCTCGTGATTATAAGATTAACCTGCTGTGTGTGTTAATCCCAGGCAGGGAATTAGCACAAGAGGTTTAGGAAGGAATCGTGTAAGGACTTCCATCTACTGTGGTTTTCTACCCAACCCGTGTGTATGACTGCCCCAACACTCCCCGTCGGCTGGGATCACCATGTGCGTAGCTAAAGTCTTGTATTTTTAGAACCCCCTCCCTCTGTCCTTCGTCCTGCTTCCTCCTCCTCCTCCGGGTCTGTCATTGGCAGTGGGGTGGCCGTGACCAGACACACTGAAGCCGAGGGGCTTATGGGATGTTCCTCATTATGTGTGATGGTGTTGGTTTGTGTGGTAGACAGGGAAGGGTGGCCCGTCTTGTCGCTGTACCGTTATAGTCCTGTTTGATCTAGCAGCTGGCACTGGTCACTCCAAAGCACTGTTTGTATAGGAACGTTGAATCTGTTAAAGTAAGATGATTTCGTTACCCTAATTACATAATGACCGGTCTGAGATAGAGGCCTTCAGATACATTCCACCCCACTCCCTCCCGCCCCGAAGATGGTCTGTGGGAGCGCGTTGCCTCGGTGCCGGGTGTGCGCGACCGTAGGCCCGCGGGTTTTTATCCTTCATGGGAAGGGCCGGGCGGTTGTTTCCAGCACGGCTTTCTGGCCGAAGCCCATAGAACTTTTAGGAAGCTTCATTCACGTGTTCTTTGCCTTGTTCTCCAGCAGACGCACAGGATAGTGAAGACCTCCCTGTTCGATTTTTCTTCCCAGCGAGTTGGTCCCAGCTTGTGTGGGGGTCTCCCTTTGAACACAAGCCAGGTTACAGTTTCAGAGGAGAGTCCGCTCTTTGCCCTTTAAGGAAAGGGGCTTACGCCCGTGGTCACACAGCGTTTTGCTTACGGCGCTGGTCCCGACAACTGGGTTTCTCTTGTGCCTCTGGCTTTGGGCCTGTAGCGCGTCCTTCCGTCTCCTCGTCACCTTAATCCTGTGTCCTCCAGTGACCGCATTCTCCACGGTGATTAGACAGTGTTTGGTGTGTACGTGACTTTCCTGTGGGCAGAGCGCGCATGTGAGAAGCCCGGCAGTTTGTGTCATTGCAGGTCATGAAGAAGATTCAGGATCCAGGGTGAGGCCCCCGGTAGTCAGCCCCCGGAGGTGCTGCGAAATGACCCCTGGAGTTGGCTTAGTTTTCTGTCCGGTCTCCGCTGGCTCCCCCCTCCCCCCACCCCCACTTGTCAGAAGCACGCCTACTCTGACAAATCTGCCCACCTCGAAATCTAAATCCTGCTTTTGTCTTTAGATCTAGAATCTCTTTAGGTCAGTTTTCTTTCGCATCTTGTCATCTGTGGAGCTCACACTTGTCCTGACTCTTCCCTTGGCTCTCAGCTGTTCTGGACCTTTTGGCTTCACCCTCTTGCCTCCGAACTGTTTACGTTCCCAGGGAAGAAGGTGCAGGACTTCTTGCTGATTTGCCCTAGTTCCCCAGTGTCTGCTCCACGTGGCGGGACACAGCCCAGCCCACCGTCAGGTGTGGGGGGTCCCGATCGGCGTGGCTGGGGGCAGCGAGAGTGCCAGTGGATGGGACACCATAACCCAGCATCTCCTCCTAAAAGCCGGTAAGGATAGTGTTTTGTTTGTGGTAACAATCAGTTTGTATTTTGTTTAAATGCTGAAGACACAGACGAAGAACTCGGAAAAAACGGCAGCACTTTCCATGCCCTTACACGCTGCCGGTTTTCCTCGTCTGCACACATTGCCCGTAGTATGTGTGGAGAGCACACGACAGCAGTTCTGCGTATCTTTTGTCTGTTTAGTGTGTCCCGCATCTTTGGAGATTACGTCCTTGCTTGTGTGGGCTCCGGGCAAGTTCATTCTTTTGTTCCTAATCGAGTACCCCTGTGGCTCATGGGGTCAGCCCTCAACCTGGGGTGTCAGATCCCCCTGTTGAACATACACTTTGTTGATTGGCTTGGTCATCGGCCCGGCAGCTGGGTATAGTGCCCTGTGGGGCAAACCCATCTCCCTCCTAATTCCAAGTGGTTCCTTCTCTGTTAACTTGCCGGGTGGATAAGGTAAAAGTCACTTTGATGTTTTTCTTTTTTCTCAAACGCATTACGCCGCTTTGCTCAGTCCAGTCTCCTTTCCCTCTTTCTGGCTTGCTCTGCTCAGCCCTCCTCGCCAGCTGCCCTGGGGGCTCTGTGATATATGCCTCCCTGTAAGAAAATAAGAGATTGGGCACTTCCTCTTCTCCTTGGCTCTCGGTTCATTTTTATGTAAATAGTGATCCGCACCTGTGGGCGCCCATTCTCTCCCACTCGCCCCGCTCCCCCCACTCAACACTCTCAGCCATTCTTCGGTTCTGTTCCCATACAGGTGACACTGGGGCCTGGGATGGGGCATAGCGCTCATGGTGTCCTTTGGCTGTTTTGTGGGTTAAAATTTTTGGAAGGGGGTCGCTTTTCTTCATACTTAAAGTATTTATTTCCTGTATAGAAGAGTAAGATACAACTGATGGTTCAAATGGCAGACCTACAAATGAGTTTTTGTGAATTTGCTATCGCAGAGTAGGGCCTGTATATTCCCTTCAAGGCACCGTTAACAAGCTCGATGCCTGTTTGTGGGTGGTCAGCGATAGTGTTGATGCAGAATATTCTCCTACCTCACATGACAGTCAGGGTTCTAGGTCTTCTTCCCAAACTAAGTAAGTCCGCCTTCCTGCCATTGGCTTTTCTGACTCTGGTGACCAACCGCCGCCCAGGGGAGAACGGTATTCTGACCGTTGGCCTGGCGGTTTACCAGTTTGTTCGTTCAGCAGATGTTTCTGAGCGATTACCATGTGCCAGAAGTGCCAGCTCCGCATTCCCCTGTCGGGCACGTTGTGAGTAACCGATGCCGGCAGACTGCGCATGCCCCCTGTCTCATACTTGCATTTGGCCCTAAAATAGCCTATCCCCAAAAGATTGTGCAGTTTTTATTCACAGCTCTTTTATGTAGATCTGTATTTCCTTAAAGAGCTGTCCTGGGTAAAATCAATTCAAGGCTCTTCCGTTAATCCGTGTCGTCTTCCTAGAGCTTTGAAAACATTGGGGAGATTTCCTCAGTGTAAGTCTCGTGGGCACCCACCATCTTAGATGTAGTTCAGTGGAATCTGGTGGGTTGAGGGGTGCGTTGGTTGGCTCAGAGCTGCACAGTAGGCCAGTTACGTGTATAAGTAAAGCATCTGCCCGGAGTCCCTCTCCAGTCTAGTGCCTTCCTTGATCTTTCTACTGAGCTGCTCACGTCCCTAATCCCCCTTGTGAAGTTTCCTTGTCCCCCTTTGGGAACCTGTTACCACGTCCCACTCTCTTTGGGACTTGTTTTCCAGTCCTTCCACACCCTTTGCAGCTCATCCTCTGTCTCAGAAAGGCTGAAGGTGTAGGAGGGGCTGGCCACCTGTTGTTTGGTCCTGGTCTTCAGCTGATCGTTTGCTCTCCCAAGAGCCAGGCAGCAAAACCGATGGAACTCAGTCAGTTCTCAGAAGTGCCAGCCTTTCCCCCCTGGGCCAGGAGCCTTACTTAGCCCCCTAGAACTTAGCACCAGAAGGTGCACATCACCACTTTCCTAGACTTTCAGGCCTTAGAATTCAATCTGAAGTATTCTAAGTCCACATGCAGGGTTACTGGCACTACTTTGACCTCAGTCTCTGTTCATTGTCTTTCTTTAGAAGTGCATAAAGCCACGTAGTGCACGGAGGAGGGTGCATAGTGAAAGGAGGCCACAGTTTTGTGTCTTTGATGGTCCTGTTTAGGAATCCTTCGGATGTTGGAAACAGGTATACAGGCTAAAGAAAGGAAGGAACCCTGAGGACACCGGGTATTTTATAGACCCCCCGTATAACAAGAACAGTTGATTCTTGCGTGGGGCTGGCCTGGGACTGTCAGACTTTGCACCTCGTCCTTTCTCCTTATCAGGCAAGCCCCGGAATAGGCAGCCCAGTCCCCAAGTTGACATGACATCCGGGCTCTCTAAGGATCACTGAGTACAGCTTTCCGGTGCCTCTTGATTCACATTCTCAAGAAAGAACACGATCGGCCCAGCACGTTGCCTGGGTGTCTACCCCTGACCAGTCAGCCTTGGCAGCCTGCCCCTTCGGGTGGGGGTGCGGGGAGAGGCTACTGGCAGGATAGACACCCTAAAGGTGTTTTAGTGGTAAAACTGCTGTCATCCTGCCTTTTTTTTTTTTTTTTTAAGAGTAGAAAGGTAGGCATGGGACTGTGTCTGGGATATTGAGGAAATTCTTAGGTTTCACTTAATTCAGGTTATTGTCATCTTTGTTTCTTACTGTTTTAATTCCCTTTATCAGTCTTGGCATCCAAGATTTCTTACCTCCCTCTTTAGGACCAGTTTCTCCTGTTCCGGAGCTAGTCTGTTCTTAAGGTGACATTTCTTTGCCTTCATTCAGTCTCAGGTGGTTAGCCTTCTTTCATGTTCTTTGGAGAGCAGATCACACATCCCACTGCAGCTGCCCAGGGACTTCTGGGCTCTCTTCAAGTTGTAGCACCAAAAATACATCCATTCTGTGGGCCCGTGGCCCTCGCTCCGCCCCTCCTCGGGGAGAGCCCTGCGGTGATATTCTTGGGCAGGCCTTCTGGGTACCTCAGAAACGACTTCCCCATGCGAGGTCCGGCAGGACCACATGCTAGTTGGGGCAGTGGCCAGGATAGAAGTTAGATGTAGATTCCGGTTCAGAGGAGCATTTTGACTGAGGGAGAGCTCTTCAGACCAGGAACTCTGGTCTTCCCCGTCCACCTGACTTCTTTGTAGTCCTGTAGCAGAGCCTTTGTAAATTTTATTTTTTTAATTATTTTTTAGGTTTTGAAAAACTGCTCCTGCTTGCCTAGTAAGTTTTGATCATACTTCCCTCCTAGAGCCTGTCCCATGTTCTTAAGGCATTTCACAATTACTTGTAACTTTTTCAAACTGTTGGAGTCGTCTGGAATACACAGAAGTGATCTAGTAATCCAAAGATACACATCGAGGCACGTGAGGGAGGATGAGTCGTTAGCCCTCGCGTTTGGTACCCTGGACCAGGCGCCAGAATCACGGAGCAGAGGGATAGCAGTGCCAGGTACCTTGGCGTCCTGGGAAATCTGGGTTGGTCTCCCAGGGGCCTGCAGGCGCTTTCTGGTTCTACGCAGCAGCACCGGAGTAAGATGTGGGCGGACAGGGACGGGAAGAGCAAGCTACGACTGGAGACTCCCATCCGAATGCAGAAAGAACCTTCCCGAAGGGCCAGCTGTTGGCTGAGGGCAGCAGCTGTCGGGAGAGCTCCCTGCCGCTTCCCCCATGTGGTGTGTGATGTGTAGCGTGTCGTGCCCGAGAAGAATGTGCGGGCCACTCCCTCTGCTCGCACAGAGCAGGGGCTGAAAGCCAGCTTTGGGCGGCCGGGCAGCCGAGCAGCCGAGCAGGTCGGCGGAGTTCTGATTGCCCGGCTTGCGTTCTTGACCTCCTCCTGAGATGCACGGGAGGGCACCCCTGCCCTGCCTCTCGCAGGTCCTCTTTTTACGCCCCCTTCAGACTAGGGGGCCGGGGGGCTGGGGGGGAAGGCTCAGCCACAGGCCCCGGGCACCTCCCCGAGCCTCACGCCGCTTCCCCGCCCAGCCCAGCGCCCTAACGTACACGTGTGTCGGCGTGCCCCGTGTGTCTGGTCCCTCCTCCCTGCAGACCTCGGACCCCGCTGGGGGCGAGGCCGCCATGCTCATGGCCGTCTCAAAACCGAAGAGGCAGACAACTACCGAGGTGTCTGTAGACCATGTGTTTTCTCCTCCTTGGCTCCTTCCTTCTGCTGCCTGGGTGAGCCTGCGGGCACGGTGCCCGTGAGAGGGGATGCCTCCTGACCTCCCCGTCTCCGTGTCTTGGCCTTGACCTCCTGCTGAAATGTATGGTAGGGGCATGGCAGCTACGAGGTACCTCCTCCTACGTTTGCTTTCTGGCTGTGGTGACTTGGGATTTCTAACCTTATATATCTTTTTCCTTTATTCAAAACAAAACAATTTTTAGCACACTGAAAAAAAAAAGCCAAACATTTTTGTGCCTTTCTAAGGCAGCACTGAAACTCAGGCTGCATTTTAGGACTTAATATGGAAATACCAGAGTCTTAGCTCCTCTACCTTGAGTGTCAGCCCTTATAGGCTGGGGGCGGGGAGGAGGTAAACACTCTGTGGCTGGAGATGGCAGGTGGGTGAGGCGCATCTGGGGTCCCTTCTCCCTGCCGAGATGCCCCATCGGGGGGAAAAAGTGTTCCCCTGGGGTCATTCGGTCAGTCCCAGTCCCCGATCGTGACTTCCAGGGTGAACGCTCGATCTCCCACAAGGAGAGACCCTGCTCCGAGGCTTCCGGGCGCGCTCTGGACCGTTCCACGTGTGCCGCCTCCTGGTCCTGCCAGCGCCGCAGCGGCGCGGGTCGGGGGGGGGGGGGGGGGGGGGGGGGTGTGGGTTGGAACCTCCCGAGGACGGGACGGGGCTCCGTCCTCGGGTCTGGTCTTTTTGCTGGATCCTGAACTGGCCGCCACCTCCTGCCTTTCCCTAAAGACGTGGCTTTCCTTTTATTTGAAGACTTCAGTCTTAAAGCATTAAGCAGCCAGTGCCCCCATGCAGGGTCCCGTCCCCACCCCCACCCCCAATGGCAGCAGGACCCCCACGCGCCAGGGCCTCAGGATGTGGCCACGGGCAGTTTCGGCAAAGAAAAAAGGAAAAAAGTTGTCTATAAGACGTTTTTCTTCTCGCTCTCCCATTTCAGTTCTTCCCCGCCTTTAATCAAGAATTGGGAGAGAAACCATCCTTTTGAAAGTCCTCCCTCTTTAGGATTTGACATTCTTGGCCTGGGTGGGGCTGAGGAGAACTTGATGCTTTCTCCAGAATAGAGTCCCAGTTTGTATATCGGTGTTAAAAATAAAACAAAACGAAAGCTTAGAGATTTTTGTGGACTATTTTAAAAATGTGTCATTAATATAAAAAAATTTCTATTAGCAGTATTTAATCCTCCTCACCTGTAAAGAATACGACAGAAGGTAAATATTCTTACAGAGAAGAGCAGAGCTTTAAAGATTGGTTTTCATTTGAAGTCCCTTTTGTTTTGCCAATGTATTAATGTTTAGAGGTCTGTTATACTAATGTTATTTATTAATTTTTTTTCATTTCCATACAGTTAACTAAAGAGCTTTTTCAAGCACCCATGTCTGTAAAAAAAAAAATATTTTTAAATAAAGTTTCTTTTGTTGTAGCAGACTGCGGTTCTTGCCCTTCCGTGCGGGTGGGAGAGCGAGCCAGGCCAGCCCGCCGCTCCCTCAGGCAAGTCCTTCCTCCAGGCAAGTCCGATCCGGAAAGCCCAGGGGAAGGGGTACTCGCTGGGGCCGCCTTAGAGTCAGGTGGCTGTGTGCACAGAAACAGACGGCACCCCCTGGTCTCCGCTCCCAAACGCACCGGGCTTGGTGTGGTGCGGTTCCAGCTGCGGAGACCCCAGGCTGCAGTGGTGCCCGCGGTACATAAAGACAGGGTCAGAGCTCTGGGGCGGTTAAGCTTTATTTTTCTTACATATATATATATATATATATATATATAAAGGAAATCTGCAAATTTACACACAACCTGACGAAACCACATATACATACAGGTGTGCGCACACACCCCAAAGCTCTAGCCAGGCCGGCTTCTCGCCCCTAAGTACCGTTCTCCCATTGAGGGGGCTCTTCTCTCAGGGTCTAAGCCCATGAGCTCAGTTTGTGGAAGTTCGGTGCTAGTAGAGTCTTAATCGTCCTAAAGGACAGTCTGGACCTCATCCCTGTCCCCAAACCCCCCTTTTCAGTTTTACATGACCCCTTAAGAGGGCAGCGGGAGCCAGATTAATGCAGGGGGTTTGGGCACAAGGGCCTAACTCGGGAAAGCTGCCCACCTTCCTCCCTGCAGGGACAGCGTTCACCTGGCACGTCTCGTAAGGAGCGACACCAGTCCTGGCTGCTTCCCGGAGAAAGGTGGGTCACACGAGGACCGCCCGGGGCAGGCAGCTGCTTGTAATGGAGGCGCGGTCCTCTCCAGCACCGCCGTGAGCGGCATGCTTCCCCAGCAGAGAGGGGCCTGGGCTCAGTGCGTCCTCACCTCAGTGACACACTGAATGAGGAAGCAAGCCTTTGGGGCAGGAAACCAGCTCAAGATAAATAGGCTACCTAACTGGGCTGCTGGTAGAAAACAGGTACATACATCCAGGACACTGTATACACAGCCTGCGGGGAACTCCCCCCTCCTGGGACCCTGACGCCCCTCTTCCACCCAAGTGAGACCTCGGTGGGGGTGGGTCGTCCGTGAAGAGGGCCTTCTCTGCAGCCTGCGTGAGTGGCTTTGGCTTGGCGATCATCCTGAGTGTCGGGAGGGAGAGGGGGAGCGGGAAATGTTCCAGGCGGGAAGGGCGCTCCGTGTGATTAGCAGGCTAGTGCCTCAGATCGATGTATTTCTCTCCCTGGAAATGAGTGAAACAGAGGTTAAGGGAACCGCGGGGGGGACCAGGAGGGAGTCTGGGGTGTGAGCGCTGGAGGGATGAGGGATGGAAGCCAAAGCCGATGGATGAGGCGTGGAGGGAAGCGGCGGGAGGGGGCGGGGGCCTAGGCTGCGGACTGGACTGGCCACACTGCACTTGGCGACCCCAGCCCCGTTGCTGTTCAGGAAGAGGGAGCGGCGACAGGGCAGAGTGTACACTCTCCGTCCTGGGAGCCACCCCTGCCCCGCTCGCCGCACCCTACCCCTCTGGGGCCAGTGTTAGGAAGGGAAGCCGGGCCTGCTCGCAGTCTTCAACAGAGAAGGAGGAAGGAGACAAAGAGTCAGTGTTCAGGGGCCCAGAGCCGGCAGCCCCTGTGGCTGCGGATCCCTGGAGCCGCGTCAGGCACCGGCCGCGGAGCCGCCTCCTACCTGGTCTCCTGGAGCCCTCTTGTCACCGGTGCTGGCCTGTAGGAGGCCCATCTCTTCTGGGAGCTTATCTGACTTAACTTCAACTACAAATTCGCTCTTACGAGACGGGGGCAGCGTGCTGGGAGGAGGGAGGGAGGCAAGACGTCGGCAACTCGAGGGCAAGGAAAGGGAGGGTCGCTGGCAGACGCTGGGCTGGGGCTGGGCTCTTGCGGAGGGGCTCTGGGGCCCGGCCCAGGGCCGGAAACTGAATGAATGGAAGGGAGAAGGCGGGGGGTGGGGGTGGGGGGGGTGGGGGCGCGGGTGATGCAGTGGGCAGGAAAGCAGGGAGCACTCGCACTCGGCGTCCCCCGCCTGCTCCTACGGGGTGAGCGGGCGCTCGAGCCGGCAGGGAATGTGCCCGCGGAGGCAACAAGCTGGGCAACGGGGTGGGGGCACCATGCTTACATCTCTTGTTTGCCCGACCGCCCGCATGGAAGCTTGCCCTTCTTGTAGAAGAAATAGAGGACGGCACCCAGCACGGCCAGGACCAGGACACACACGGTCACGGCCACGATGGCCACGCCCTTGCTTTCAGGCTCCCGCAGCTTCTTCTCTGTCCCACAGAGATGCCCCCAGTCACTCCCGGCCCCGGGCGGCCACCCTTCCACCACTGCCCCGCCCAGCCCAGGGCGGCCAGAATGAGGGTGCCCTGGCCCAGCCCCGCCTGCTCACCTGTGGACGTGCTGTTGGCTCTGGCGTGAGGGCTGACGGTGGAGGTGCTGGGGGCCGTGGTTCTGTTCGAGTCTGTGGTTACACGGATTGAAAAGTGGGTTAGGAAAAGCCCAAGCTCTCGCCCGCCCCCACCACCCTACCGGACAGAAAGGACTGTACCCAGCTCCAGGAAGATGGTGGTGGTGTTTCTGCCCAGGAAGTTGGAGGCCACGCACTCGGCTCCTGTCTCCAACAGTTCTGGGGTCACAAGGACATTCAGGACACTCAGGACGCTCTGCGGATCTTGGTCTTGTTCATGTGCCTGTAGGGAAGGAGGCGCAGCTCAGGGGTGGGGGGGAGCGGTCACGGCAGCTGAGGCCGGGGCAGGGATGAGTGAGGAGGTGTGCCTGCTCACCGTGCCGTCCACGCTCCAGAAGATGGAGGGCCGCGGGTGTCCTGACGCTTCACAGGACAGATTCAACACCGTGTTCTCTTTCACCCACATCTTCCTCTCCTTCAAGGTCATCCACGGGGACCCTTAGGGAGGGAGGGGGACGGGTGTGGTGGCAAACTCCACTAGCCTGCCTCCCCCTCCCCGCCAGAGCATCCCAGGGCAGCAGGTGGCTTTGTGTCCTCGAAGAGCTCGAAACCACCCAGCTCCGGGTAGCTTCGCGGGGCCGCCTGATCTGTGCCCGGAGGCCTCACCAAAAACGGCCACGTGGACCAGCTGAGTGCGGTTCAGGCCCGGGACGCTGGGCGCGGAGGCCGTGCAGCGGTAGCCTCCCCCTGCGTCTCGCTGCAGGTCGCGTAACTGGAGCACCGGCCCCTTCTCCAGCACCTGGCCTGTCTGGGGTGAGAGGGGGGTCGGTGGGTCACGCAAGGCCACACGAGTCGCACACACCCCATAGCCCCAGGGCCACCTGGATACCTTTTCTCTCAGCCACTGGAACTCAAGGGCTTGGTTACTCTCTGCCTCACAGGTCAGGGTGAGGCTGCTGCCCTCCTGGCTCTCCGGGGCTGCAGGGCTGACCCGGACATCAGACACATCTGGGGACACAACAGCGGCGTTGGCCTGGGCGAAATTCCCTCTTGCCCTGCCCTCCCCTCCCCCCCCCCCCCCCCCCCCGCATCCTGGGCCCCGGGCCCCTCACAGTTGACCAGCAGCTCCTGTGGGTCACTGAGCAGCGACGTCACGGTTTCCAGGTCCAGGCCCTGGCACTGGTAGAGCCCACTGTGCTCCTTCTGGGCGGACTCCAGCACCAGGACCCCGCTGTCCTCGGTCGCCTTCTCCTCCATCTCCTTGGTGCCAGGGTTCTGGGGGAGAGCGAAGGGGTGAGTGAGCAGGGTGCGCCTGCAGCTGCCGCCCCCCCCCTCCCCGGGCACCGCCCCCCGCACCTGCTTGCTGACGGTGAAGTGGGGCGGGGGGTTGCCGTCAGCCAGGCACCGGACCTCCACGCGGTCCCCTTCCTTCAGCGCGCCCGCCGGCTCCACTTCCAGCCACACCTTCTCCGCCGGGTCTGCACGGGCACAGGCGGCGGTGGCCCTCAGCGCGGAGCTGTCCCCGCGCCGGGGAGCAGCCCGGCTTTTCCGCCGACCCCGGCCCAGGGCCCTGCGGGGACTCACAGAAAACCGGGACGACGACTTCCTTGGACTCCTTCATGTGGTTCCCGCTGGGCAGCCGGTAGTTGAGCTCGCAATAAAACTGGGCGTCCCTGTCCTCCTTCACCAGCTGGGCCTTCAGGACACTCTGCAGGGTGTACAGACCACTCGACTCCACGATCTGGGACGACTGAATGTGGACCCCTGGGCCGGGAGACGGGGGAGAAGGGCTCTGCCTCAGCTGGTCGCAGGGGCTGCGGGGCAGGGGGGCACCCAGAGGGACCCCTGCCTCTGCAGCAGGCCAGGCACAGTGCAGCTGCGACCCTTCACCTCTGAAGTTTTCCTGCTCATTACCTACCTGTACTACGTGTGCCACGCGTGCCACGGATGCGCGCGCACACACACACAGCAGGGCGTGCGCCAGGAACGCAGCAGTCGTGACCGGCGCCCCCTCGCCAGACACTGCAGACGCCCACCCGCGGGGGAACGAACGGCCAGCCCGGCTACGCCACCCCTGCCCGACGGAACGCTACGGGGGGGGGCGGGGCGGCAAAGCGCTGACTGAGCCCCAAAGATTTCCAAGACTCCCCATCAGAAAAAAAAAAAAAAAACGATCCCGGGTGACGCCACACGCCCTACAGAACCACTGGGATCGGGGCTTCCCAACCTCAGCGCTACCGAAGCGTCGGCCCAGATAATTCTTTGCGGGGCCGGGCAGCCGCGTGCGCTGTAGGCTGTTGGGCAGGAACCCTCGGCCTCCGCCTCCGCCGCCCCCAGGTGCCATCACCACCTCTCCATTCACGACAACCAAACATCGCTAAGTGTCCCGAAGAGGAAGCGCAAAACGACCCCTCTTTGAGAACCAATGATTTAGAGAATAAAAAATAAAAACCTACATGCTCCGGGATGTATTTACAGGTGTAAAGACACAAATTGGCTGGAAAGACCAAACACTAAGCTGGCAGCAGAGATTGCCTCTGGGAGGGGATGTGGGGCAGGAAGGGCGTTTTCCTTCTAGATTTTCTGGATCGTTTACATTCTCATGGAAATGTTTTCAGGCACCACTGGGGTACTTCAAAGAACCAGAGTCGAGTGAGTGAAAGGCAAGGTGGCGGCACCCTAAGCACGGCTCTTAAGGGGCTGAGAGGGCCATACTCACGCTTCTTCTCCTCCTTCAGGGGCCGCCCGTTCTTGTACCAGACAACTTGAGGAATGGGGTACCCATTTCTCCCCACACAGGTAGCGACCTGAGGGGGACAGGGTGTGAGTCTCCCTGCCGCCCAGGCCCCGCCAGCCCCTGCCTGGCCACCCCGGCATAGCTCACCTCCCCAGGCTCCTTGCTGTTGACCGAGATGCCCATGGGATTGACCTGGATGGTGGGCTCCTCCGGGGCTTCTGCAAGGGAAGGAGGGGAGGGGTGTGGGGCCACCGCTTCCCACCACCCACGCTGCCCACGAGGCACCGACGGGGCACTGACTGTAGACGTGGAGCTGGATCCGGTGCTCCTGGGACTGAGGGCGCTTGGCCTGGCACAGGAAGATGCGCTCGTCGTGGGGGGTGACGTGTGTCAGGGCCAGAGTAGTCCCTTTGTCCAGGAGGCTGAGGCGGTGCTGGTACTCCCCGGGTTCGCTCTGGCCCTGGCCTTTGCGCACGCGGAAGATTAGAGTCGGCTTCTCCTTGTGGATCTGACGAAGGGGAGGGGAGGTGATGGAGGGGAGGGGAGGTGATGGAGGGGAGGGGAGGTGATGGAGGGGAGGGGAGGTGATGGAGGGGAGGGCAGGTGATGGAGGGGAGGGCAGGTAATGGAGAGGAGGGGAGGGCAGGTGATGGAGGGGAAGGGAGGGGAGAGAGGGTCCTAGGGCTGCGGGAGGGAGACAGCCTCCCACCCTGCCTCCCTCTCCACACACTCACAGAAAACCAGTCCACGTGGCTGAAGTTGCCCTGGGAATGGGAGGGGCCGCACTTCAGAAGGGCCGTGCCGCCAACTTCCACCTCCACGGACTCCGGGGTGGGGGGCTCCGCCTCGCCAGGCACACCTGGGGTGCGGGAGGGGACACCCCAGCAGTGCTGTCAGCTCCAGCTGCTCCCCGTGGCCTCCCCTCACAGCCCGCTCCCTGCAGCTGTTCTTCCTGGAGACGGCTCTGCCCTCCCGACCCTCAACCGCTCTCTACCCGCTGCCCCAGGCCGCCCTGTCCCCCAGGGTCAGGGGGGTTGAGGGGGACCGTCCCTGGCCATTGTCGCAGAGACCCTGAGTGCCAGGCACCTTCCCGACGAGGCTGGCAGAGGGGCAACCCAGGCTCTGAGCCAAGAGGAAGGCCCCTTTCCTTCCAGACCCCCCTCCACTCCCAGTGAGCTCAGAGCGTGGGAATGCAAGGCATGTACCAGGCTGGGGCACACAGGCCCCTTTGTGTCCCCACACCCGGGGAAGACATCACTACTCTGCCCCCCAAGACACCCCTCCCCAGATTTCCCCCAAGACCCAGTGAGCCAATCCTGGCCAGAAGCTCCCATCTCACGCTCCCCAAGCAGTGTCTCCATGAACATCCCACACACTCAGGGGACCCCATCCTGGGAGTCTTGTGAGCACGGAGGGGTCAGAATGCCCCCCAGGGGTCAGGGTGAGGGCCAGGCAGTGGGCAACAGTGACGTCAGTGGTGCCAGCGTGCTGCCTGCCCTGTGAGGAGGTGATGTCACTCGGTACCATCTGGCTGGCCTCAGGGATGCCTGGGTGGTTGCCCCCGGTTGGCGCCCAGACAAGGAGGGCAGATGGAGCGGTCTTCAGCCCAGGGCAGAAGCCTCGAGTCCCTGACTCCGTTTCCCCAGAGCGAGAGGAGCCGGGCAGGGTGGGGCTAGATTGGCTGCAGCTGTGGAGCCCAATTTAGCTCTTTCCCCAGAAATACAGTCAGCCTGGGAGGCAGGGGCCAGGGGACCCCAGGGACACTGTAGGCACTGGGCATGAGGCCAGCGAGCTGGGTATTGCCTAGCCCTCCCCTTCCCCAGCCGGACAGCGGCTGGGACCCGGGAAAGGGAGCCAAGAGAAACACGCGACACCGCTGCAGGCCATACAAGGGCAGCGTGGACCCGGGAGCGCCCGGCTCCCAGGCAGTTCCAGAGAAAAACTCCGAAGTGCAGGGGCGCTCTTCCCACCTGAATGCGGTCCCATTCCGCGAGGCGTAACAAATCTGGGGCGCTTCCACCCTGGGCACCCTCAGTCCCTCGTTTCTGCCACCTGTGAACCCGTCACCCGGCAGGCGCGAGGCGACCCACGCCGACCCCCGCCTCCTGCCAACGCCCTTGCTCGGGCAGGAGCCGCCGTCCCTCCCCCGCTCGCTCACCTCCAGCCTGGCTCGAAGCCCAGGCCGGAGAGGAGGCGTCGGCGCACCCCCTCCCGCTCAGCAAGCCGCCGTTTCCAGCAACAGGCGGGCGCAGAATTCGGGATTTGGGGATGCGCACGAGCCGTGCCTCCCGCCGCCGCTCCAACCGCGGGCCCCCAGGGTGGGCACCTGAGGCAAAGCTCTCCCCAGCACCCCAGAGAGGCTCGACTCCACCCCTTCCCGCTCCGGGCAGCAGCCTCCTCCCCGCGATCCTCCAGGACCGAGGCTGCAAACTGGCCGCGAAGAAGAGTTGCACGCGCGCAGAAGGCGCCGGGAAGGAGGAGCGCACCGCGGAGCGCAGAGCCCCGGCCCGCGCCGCCGGCTCCGCTCCCCGGGCACGCTCCGCCGAAGACCCCTGGCCCAGGCCGCTCGGGGGGCGCGGGCCCCCTGCGAAGCCACTCACCCGCGGCGCGGCGACAGAAGCAGCAGCAGGCGGCGAGCAGGACGGCGCAGACGAGCCCGGACGGCCCCATGCTTCCCGGCCGGAGGGCGAGCGCCTAGTGAGCCAGCCGGCGGCGGCCGGGGGCTGACGTCAGGGGGGCGGGGGAGGGGGCCCGGCCCGCCCCGCCCCGCGCAGCCCCCCGCCCCCGCCGCCGCTCCACGGGGGCGGGCCCGGAGCCGCGCGGGGCCGCGCGCCCAGCTAGGCCGGGCCCGGCTCCCAGCCCCTCTCCCGGCTCGGGTCGGGCGAGGGGGCAGTGACAGGTGTCTCGAGGCCGGGCTGACCGGCCGAGGCGGCGGCGAGGAGAGGCCGGCCCGGGCGCCCAGAGTCACGCCGGCTCAGAAGCGGCGGCGCTGGGCTCCGCTCGGCCCCTACCGGGACGGCCGGGTCGGAGGAGCAGCAGACCCGGTCCTCCGGCGCCCCGATGGGGGCCTCCCCTGCAGACTCCTCTGCCTGCCTCCTCCTCCACCCCGCCGGACCCCTGCCACAGAGAAATTGGCCGGCCGCAGTCGCTTCCCAGAAATATTGCACCACTGCGGCTGCCGCCGGCCTGGCACTGCCCCCAAAGCCTCGCACGCCCCCAAGCCTTGCAGTGCCGGCCGCTTTGAGGGAAGAGCCCCAAGCCGGGTCCCACAGAACCAGAGGCACCTGCACTGGGGATGGAGATGGTACCCCGTGGGCTCCCCCTTCAAACCCAAGCTCCTGCAAGTCTGACTGGTGGAAGAGGGAGGGGGCTGCAATTCACAAGCCCAAGGTTTTCACACGTAACCAAGTCCAGGCCTTGAAAATTCTGGGTTTTGCCCTCCTCACTCACTGAGCCTAGCTGGGACTCAGTTTCCTCTCTCCTGAATAAAGAAAAGAGGGAGAAGGCAGGCTTAATGGGCACGAGGTCTCCAGCTTGACCCCTGAAAACCTGTTGCTGTCCTGGCGGTTGAAAGGGCCCCCTGCAGCAGGGCTCCCCGCCCACCCCCAACTGCACACCCCCAGGCCCCTAGTTGACTGTGGCTCCGCAGCCCAGCCGAGAATGGAAGCCTGGAGGGGAATCAGGCCTGGCTGCAGGCACTGTCCACACAGCAAGCTCCCCCCCTTCCCAAACCCAGGTCTTCTGGCCTCTTGAACTCCGGCTCTGGGGAGTGGCATGGGCTCTCGCCTCTGAGAGACCCCAGCTTCACATCTGCTGGGACTCCTTCAGCGAGAGGGTCAAATAGAGGTCTGGATTTGGGGTGGAGGCCTGTCGCCTGGCAGAGCAGCCTCTGCGGGCTGGGGGAGGAGCAGCGTGAGGCAGCAAACGCCGGAGATGGGCAGGTGACTTGAGAGAATGCTCTGGGATGGTATTTTGATGACGCAGAGATGACTGGCAAACCACATGAGCCTCGGGGTTTTTTTTTTTTTTTTTTTGGAACCTTGCTGACCCCTCCTCTCTCTTCATCCGTCTCCAGCCAGAAGCCACGCCGAGCCGGCCAGGGCAGGGGCCTGGAGCCTGGAGTTTAGGAGGACAGGACAAGCGGAGGACCGTGGCTCCGCATCCCCCCAGGAGTGAATGTATGGACTGGCCCTGGGCCCGGAGTGGAATGGAGGAGTTTGTCTACAGGGGGAAGGAACAGGAATGGTTGAAGGATGCTGTTTCCCGGGCACACCGGGGCTGGGCATGGCGCTCTGCTTCCCCGCCCCCACTCCCTTCCCTTCACTTAACACCATTAACTAATCATTCTCCTCTCTGCCTGAAAACAAAGCCAGCTAACCACCAAGGACAGTCAGTTCGGAATCCTTCTTCCGCCCTGAGCAGAGTGCAGCCAGGTGGGGGTGGAGGAGCTGCCTCTGCGTCGAAGGGGAAATGAGGTTAGAGCTGAGGGTGACATCCTTTCCCTGTGTGGCTCCACCAAACAAGCACAAAGACTGTCCTTTAAAGAAGCCTGGGGGTGATCTGGGCTGCGAGGGCGTGGGTGGTAGAGGTCAGGGAGCAGGCAGCTTTGGGACGGGCTCATGATGGGGGCACTTTGAGATTCCAAACCAAAGAGAGATCAGGACCTTGGAGAGGATGCGAAGGGCCCGGTAATCAGAAGGAAGGGCAGTGAGGACGGGACAGGGTAGAGAGAACGGAAGGTGGGGAGTATCGGCCCTCTGGCTCTTCAAAGATGCCAGAAGATAGAGCTACAGCAGCGGCTGGGAAGAGAGAAAGCAGCAGAGGAAGAACTTTCAGCAAGCGAGGACTGTGACCCAGCTGGAGGGGCTTCAAGGAGGCGGTGGTCACAGGGCTTCCACCGGCAGAGGCCCCCGACACCTGGGCTGCATTGGAAGCAGCTTTACTCGAATGTAGGCCAAGACAAAAAGCAGCCCAGGATCTGAGTCCTAATTCTTTGTCTACTTCTCTCCAGAAGGAAGGGGTAGGAAGGCTGCTTTCCTCCACCCCCATGATAGACCCAGGCTACTCAGAGATGAGGGGTCCCGCTGTGTGGAACGTCCTCTGTCTCTCTGGTATGGGTCTGACCACAGGCAGAGAAACTGAGGCTGGGTGGGGGGGTGGCCATGGTCTGGTCTCCAGGGTGGGTGGGGCTTTCATTTCAGCGTAAGGAAAAGTGGGGAAGAGTGAGGCCCCGCAGTGTATTGGATGCGGAGATAAAAAGACAAGGATGGGCCTGCCCCAAGGGGCCACCCGGGTAGGATTCTAACCTAGGAGTCCTCTCTCAGCACAGTGGGCACGGTGGCCTTCCACCCACCCCTCTGGTTGAGGGGCTTGACTGGGAGGAAGATGCGAGAAGGTCGGGCTGGGGGGAGGAAGGAAGCTGATAAAGGCAAGTTTGCAGCTGCAATGAGGAAGGAACTGGGGGTGGAGGCAGGTGACCCAGCAATCTTGGCAATTATGGAGGCTGGGGAACCCCCTGGCCTGGCCAGAGAATAGGGTCTGGTCTGAGTGTTTGGAGGGGAAGGGAGGAGAATTTGTCCAGAATGGGGGTCTGAGTTGGGAGGAGACCGCCCTGAGGGAGTGGAAAACAGGGTGGGAGGAGGGTGGGGGGCAGTTGTTGCCGACGACATCATCAGGCCAGGAAACCGGATACTGGGGGGCTGGGTTGGAAGATGTGGGGGAAGAGATTGAATGGGGGGAAGCAGCCCCTATCCTGGCCGGACGCAGTCTTACATGTCCTCTGCACCTGACCCAGGGCAGGAGGAAGGAGGTGCAGCTAGGATTAAGGTTTGCCCCCAGAAAGGCCGGGAAGAGGAGGAGGGTGACTTGGGAGTGGGGGGATGGGAGGGGTTATTTTTAAACTTGGAAAAACCTTGAGTGAGTTCATCTCCACCCTGAGTGCTAGAGGCGGCAAAGGCCCCATTGTACAAGGGTCTAGAGAAGGCGAGCGGGGAGGGGGTGAGTGGCACAATGGCAAGAATTATGCTGGAGCAGGCCGGGCCAGCGGAGGGCAGGGCGGGGGAGGGGACTCCTCGTCACAGCTGGCCTACTGAACTACGGGGTCCTGCGAGGCTGGGGCTTGGAAGGGCGGGGGGAGAGGTCCACTCTCACAAAGCCCCCTGTGGGGGAGCTGGGGTCTCTGGCATCCGGTGGTGGTCCATCCTGAGGAGGGGGCTGCGGGTGGGATTCCCACAGCCTGGCTTTCCCAGGGACTTCAGGGCCTGTTCCCAGGCTCCCAGCATTCCAGAGACTTCCCTGGGAGCTGCTCGCCTCTCTTCTCAGCCCCTTGTCTGCTGGGAGTCGGGGGGGGGGGGGGGGGGGGGGGGGGGGGGGGGGGCGGGGAGAGGAGAGAGGATGTGGATCATAGGGACTCTTCCTGGGGACTAAGGACCCTTAAAGCAGAATGGAGGGGGGCTGCCCTCCCATCCCAACCCCGCTAAGGCCTCAGAGTGGGCAATGTCCTTGTCCTTTCCGACCCCAGGGGCCTCTCTACTTTGGCGGCCCTCCAGCACCCAGGCATCGGACCAGGGGATCCCGCCGGGGAGTCCCAGGAGCCCTGCTCTCGGGGTCTCGCCCAGCGGAGGCCGTGGGGGGCGGGGCATCCGGCGCCGCTCTCACCAACCCAAACATTACCTTAAATGCTCAGGCGGCCGCCGCGGCCCGGGGAGGGGCTCTGGGCGCCCCCGCCCCCACCCCCAGCTCTCCGGAAGCCCCAGGCGGTTCCTGGGCCTTTCCCAGAGCGCAGCCGGCAGCAGTGATTCAGTCCAGTGCCCGCCCCCCTCCCCTCTGGAAGGCAGGAGCGGGAAGTAGAATTGGGGGAGTGAGGTGGAGAGAGCCGAGGTGCGTGGGGAGTCCCTGGGGGCCCCCTCCTGGGCGCGCAGCTACCTCCGATCAAGGAAGGAGTAGGACCCTCCAGCCAGGGTTTCAGCATTGGGACAGGAGTGGGGCTTTCTGGGTCTCCCTGGAGCAGGAGCCCACTCCTGTTAGCTGTAATAGGAGGGCCTCCTTGCACATCCCCCCCACCCACCCCCACCCCCACCCCCACCCCCGCTCTGGTCTCAGTTCTCTGGCTTCCCAGGGCCCTGCCGCCCTGCCGCTTCCCCCTCCCCTCCTAAATTTGGAGGAGGGAGCAAGTTGGTGGGGTGGAGGAGAGGGCACGAAGCAGGATGCTGGAGCTTACACCTCTCCCCCTCAGGGAAGTTCACATCCGCTCCCCAAAATACCACCACCCAGAATGTCCCCAGAGAGCCTTTTAAATTTGACTTTGAGTTGTCCCTGAGGAGAAAGGCCGGCTAGTCCACCGCAGAGAGGCCTAAGGGGGACCTAGGCACACCACCAGGCCCTCCTGGCCTTCGCGAGGGGACTTCTGTATTTTGTTTTCCCTTCCTTCCACACAGCCCTCTGCGCCACCTGGGAGGAGCCCTGGAGGTGGGGACCTGTGATCCCCGGCAGTTGCCGCAGCTGACCTTGGAGGGGGGGGAGAGAGGAGGAAAGAGAAGAGGGAAGGCAAGCCTGGAGCCTGCTCCCTGCCTCTCTGTGCCGCACCCCAGCGGCTGGGGGATGAACACAGAATTTGGAGTCCGGAAAAAGCCCCAGACTCGGTTAAGCCCAGGGCTGCGCTCCTCCCTGGCACCTTCTCTTTGTGTCCCTGTCACACTGCACAGCGCTTGTTCAACTTCCATCTCAAACAGCGGACTGTGGGTGGCTTTGAGACAGCCCTGCCACTTCTTT